ATAAGCCTAGGATGGATGTGTGGGGGTGGTGGTGCTAGTGTGGCTGGGTAAGTGGTGGTGGTGGTGTTAGTGTGTGTGGGTAAGGAGATGTGGCGGTGTTAGGGTGGATGTGTTTAGGTGGTGGTGATGTTAGTGTGGGTGTGTGTAGATTGTGGTGTTAGTGTAGGTGTATGTGTGTGTGTGTGTGTGTGGAGGTGGAGGTGGTGAAGTTAGTGTAGGTGTGTGTGCGTGAGTGGAGGTTGAGGTGTTAGTGCCAGGTACGGGTACCCAGCAGTTCGCATTGATGTGTAATGAAAAACACCCAGCAGTCCACTGTCCATTGTGTAAAGCTACAGACAAGCTTCAGTACTAACTTACAGTCGTAGTCAATTTCCTTCAGCTGATTCAGCAGCCTCTACAAGTATTTCCTCCGTCAACACAACACTTCCTGTCAGTGGCGGAACTAGAAATCAAAGGCTCCCCCGCAAAGAAAAAACTAGGGCCCCCCTATATATATATATATATATATATATATATATATATATATATATATATATATATATATATATATATATATATATATATATATAATGTATATCCTACATGAGTTATTTAGTCTACTTCATTGCAATATATGACCATTTTTTTTTAAATATATATAGCCATTCTGAGAGGACAAACCAGAAATAAATATAGTCCAAACAATAAAAAGTTAAATAAACTGGTAAAATATATATAATGACGTTAGCTTGATTCGTGAATGGTTTCTCGCGTTATGTTTATTTTTTTCATTTTTGGCTTTTATAATATCAATTTTGAAAACATTAATTTTTATAGCTATACTATTATATATTACGTCTTATTTAAGTAACAATTCAGAGAATCAATTGCTTTTTAATATACACAGTACAAAACTATTTAAATGAGCTTTGTGGGCATCCCTATTTTAAAGAAGGGCAGTAAGTCATGCAAGTAGTGTGAATGTTTACCTACCTTTCAAACTATAGCTCTTGTAGATTTTAAAATATTTTTCTACGCAACAATCTCTGCTATAGTAGACCTGGTTTTTTTTTTTTTACAAAACCACTTTCAAGATGCATAAAAAACATAATTTTTGAAAAAAAATTCATTGTATTTTGGTCGGAACTGGGCCCCTAAACGTCCTGCCCCCCCCCCCCCCCCCCGCATTGCGGGGTCTGGCGGTATGGTAGTTCCGCCCCTGCTTCCTGTCTGTGTTGGGCGCAGATCTTACAACTAGAATTATCCATACAACGTTACGTCATAGACTGTTACATCCCACCCCTCTACACCCCCCTCCCTCCCCGCAGGAGTTTAAACCACACGTTGACTGCCTCTGACGGCGCGTGTAATTAGAACCTGGTCAGCTGACCAGAGTCCATTTGTTCCACCCAGCCAATCACTGCTGGTTAGTATCGGGCTGACCTTTTTCTTGTGTCGGCCGAATTTACTGCTGGTCTAAGGTGATAACTCTCGTCATGTCTCCAGTGATGTACTTACCTCCCTTCACCCTTGTCATGTACTTACCTCCCTTTACCCTTGTCATGTTCTTACCTCCCTTCACCCTTGTCATGTACTTACCTCCCTTCACTCTTGTCATGTACTTACCACCCTTCACTCTTGTCATGTTCTTACCTCCCTTCACCCTTGTCATGTACTTACCTCCCTTCACTCTTGTCATGTACTTACCTCCCTTCACTCTTGTCATGTTCTTACCTCCCTTCACCCTTGTCATGTACTTACCTCCCTTCACCCTTGTCATGTACTTACCTCCCTTCACCCTTGTCAAGTACTTACCTCCCTTCACCCTTGTCATGTACTTACCTCCCTTCACCCTTGTCATGTACTTACCTCCCTTCACCCTTGTCATGTACTTACCTCCCTTCACCGTTGTCATGTACTTACCTCCCTTCACCCTTGTCATGTGCTGACCTCCCTTCACCCTTGTCATGTACTTACCTCCCTTTCTCCTATACACTTCTCTGCACAAAGATTATTTTGTTTTATTCATCAATTCCGTGCGTGAAAAAAGCACCATTTGAAAAAAAAAACACATAACACGTAATGATAGACTTGTAAAAAAAAACTGAAAAATAACCAAAAATTATTTGAAACTATTGTACTTGTGAAACAAAGATTATTCTATAAATAAAGGAACCGAAACTGACCTAGAAGAAAAAAATTTCCAAGTGTCAAGGTACACTGATGCTTTAATTAAATCCAAAGAGTTTTTTCCCCACACCACGTCTAGACCTGTTAATTAACCCATCCCAAATCGTTGGACGCGGTCAAACACAAGACCGCCCCCCCCCCCATCTCCACCAACTATCAGTGCGCCCTCTGGTGGAGGGCGGGTTATCCAAAATGGAAGACGAACCAGACAGGAAGTCATAAAATCACTATGGCTGAAAGGGACGTCATGTGCTACATAAAATACGAAAATAGAGTCGGATACCAAAAACTAGCTCTAACACTCACACACACACACACACACACAAAAGCGAATAGAAAACAAAATAAATCCATAAACATGAGGGTTATGAATATTGAGGGCATAACTATATCAGATATATATATATATATATATATATATATATATATATATATATATATATATATATATATATATAATATATATATATATATATATATTAGGGTTATATCTTTAATATGTCATGGAGTATATAATTATTTCGATTATGCGTGTGTGTATGTTTACATAAATGTATATATATTTTACATATGTCGTATATATTGTATAGGTTATATATGCTGTATGTACTAGAATCTAAACAACTGGCGAGAAAGATTGGTAGGAACAAAATACACAGTTGAACAGTGTCAACGATGCGTACAAGATCTTATTACTCACATGAAAACCTCCAGGCCAGTTCCCGTGTGGGGCCTCAAGCCGTCACCAACCACTCGAAACCTCCTCGTCCCTGATGGTACCAAGCTCTCGGGTCCGGTGCCATTAAGTCGGCTCCCATAGGGCCCCACTCAACGTGTGTCGAGTCTATCTAGTCGTGTTGTGAAGAGCTCCCAGTAGAAAACCCCAGCGATGTTCAAACAATATGCCTCATATCTCCGGTTGTGAATCAATATTTGGTTCGCTGTCTTTTAAACACTCGAGAAATTTCAATATTTATTTATTTTTAATAAAATATAAATTTAGATTTATTTCAGCTTTTAAAATAATGACTGTATTTCTTTTTTTATACTAACTCCACAAGCTCTGGGTCTGATCCGGAGATTTTTTTATTCTAAGTTTGCCTATAAATAGTTACACTTTTCATGGGTTCGAAGTAATGTTTGTCGATGCCAATTTCTAGACCATTCTAACACATTCTCTCTTTCCATCTGCCTCTTTTCTCTCTCTTCTACTCTCCACATCCTCCTTCTCTCAGACTCTCCAGCATTCACTTTCTGGTTTCAACCCACTCGAAGAAGAAAAAAAAAACACCAAATGAAAATACTGCAAGTCTGTTTCAGGAGTCGGCACGTCGATTCGGTACCAAAGTATTCTCCAAGTCGACTGACGAACGTCTTCACTTTCTTCAAAGTGTCTCATAACAGTTTGTTTTTCTTTTCTACGCAGACGCCGCCCCCGCCCCCACCCCACGTTCACACACTCACACACATTCTGTCTTTATTAGGAAATATTCAGGAAACATGGCGTTCATCTTGATAAATCTCAGCACGTTAATTAGATAATTACAAAGAATTGTACGATGACACGTGTTTTTCTTAATCAAAACCCGCGGAAATTGAGGTAGAAAGTGGAATTATTTTTTCAACGTTTGGAATTATTGATGTTAAGTTTTGTTTAATCGAGGCTTTAATCTTTGATTGACTGGAATTTTGTTTTCGAAAGATTTCTAAAAAATGTTTATGAAAACAATTTTACAGCCAGTGTAGTGTTTTGTGTGTGATGAAAGAATGTGATTAAAAATAACAGCAAAACAATAAAGTTGGCGGATATTTCAGAGCAGTTTGGTGGTGAATGTAAGGAAACACTGAGTCAACTAGACTTACAAATACATTTGAATTGCTTTGTGAATTAATTTGATGTAGGCTTACGTGTACTTGGTCTATTTGTTTTTGCTTTGTTTTGTTTTTTCGCAAACATGCATATATAGCGAGGTGACTAGTTAGTTTAATTTAACTAACTGTCCACCTCACCTTGCATTTGTTTTATGAATCCCTTAGTTTCAACGGTAATATTGTTTATTAAGTAATTTTTACCAAAATCTTATAATTTCTGTATATCTGTCTGTGGTTTTGCTCTAATTGGCCATAAAGGATAATGAATTTGTAATCTGTTTTTATTTTTCGATATTTTCTATACTACTCTTCTGTATTACGCTTACGACATGCGTAACTGTGTGCCTAGCTCATAAGTATTTCTTGATTCAAGAAATGTTTAGGTTTTTACAAATCAGAAGAAACGAAGCAAGCAACATGTTTTCTTTCAATGGTTAATACACTAAAATAATAATGCGATTATGTTGACTTTCCATCATTACAATAAAGGAATATGTAATAACACTATGTAAGAACAAATGTAATAAAGAATGTAATAACGAATCTAATAACAAATGTAATAACGAATGCAATAGCAAATGTTATAACAAATTTAATAACAAATGCCATAACAAATGCCACAACAAATGTCACAAAAAATGTCACAACAAATGTCACAACAAATGTCACAACAAATGTCGCAACAAATGTCACAACAAATTTCATAACAAATGCCATAACAAATGCCATAACAAATTTCATAACAAATTTCATAACAAATGTCATAACAAAAGCCATAACAAATGCCATAACAAATGTCATAACAAATGTCATAACAAATGTCATAAAAAATGTCATTAAAAATGCCTTTACAAATGCCATTACAAATGTCAAACAATGTCATAACAAATGTCATAACAAATGTCATAACAAATGTCATAACAAATGTCACAACAAATGTCATATGTTTTCCCCTCCAGCTACGGTGACATGACACCCGACACCATCACGGGGAAGATTGTGGGCGGCGTCTGCTCACTCAGCGGTGTCCTGGTCATCGCACTTCCTGTTCCTGTCATCGTGTCCAACTTCAGCCGCATCTACCACCAGAACCAGCGGGCGGACAAGAGGAAGGCGCAGAAGGTGAGTGGGTGTCGGAGGCATGCACAGGCTGACCTTTAACCTCTGAACGGCTTCTTGCTACATGTTGTGATGTTCATTTGTTTAACCCCAAAAGATGAGTTGGTTTTTGAGACTTGTCTGAGGCTGACTTGCACAGGCTGACCTTTAAACTCTGAACGGCTTCTTGCTACGTGTTGTGTTCATTTGTTTAACCCCAAAAGATGAGTTGGTATCGGAGTCCTGACATGCACAGGCTGACCTTTAACCTCTGAACGGCTTCTTGCTAAATGTTGTGTTCATTTGTTTAACCCCAAAAGATGAGTTGGTATCGGAGTCCTGACATGCACAGGCTGACCTTTAACCTCTGAACGGCTTCTTGCTACGTGTTGTGTTCATTTGTTTAACCCCAAAAGATGAGTTGGTATCGGAGTCCTGACATGCACAGGCTGACCTTTAACCTCTGAACGGCTTCTTGCTACGTGTTGTGTTCATTTGTTTAACCCCAAAAGATGAGTTGGTATCGGAGTCCTGACATGCACAGGCTGACCTTTAACCTCTGAACGGCTTCTTGCTACGTGTTGTGATGTTCATTTGTTTAACCCCAAAAGATAGTTGGTATCGGAGGCCTGACATGCACAGTCTGACCTTTAACCTCTGAACGGCTTCTTGCTTATATGTTGTGATGTTCATTTGTTTCACCCCAAAAGATGAGTTATGTCGGAGACCTGTCTGAGGCTGACTTGCACAGTCTGACCTTCAACCTCTATACGGCTTCTTGCTAAATGTTGTGATGTTCATTTGTTTCACCCCAAAAGATGAGTTATGTCGGAGACCTGTCTGAGGCTGACTTGCACAGTCTGACCTTCAACCTCTATACGGCTTCTTGCTAAATGTTGTGATGTTCATTTGTTTCACCCCAAAAGATGAGTTATGTCGGAGACCTGTCTGAGGCTGACTTGCACAGTCTGACCTTCAACCTCTATACGGCTTCTTGCTAAATGTTGTGATGTTCATTTGTTTCACCCCAAAAGATGAGTTATGTCGGAGACCTGTCTGAGGCTGACTTGCACAGGCTGACCTTTAAACTCTGGACGGCTTCTTCCTAAATGTTGTGTTCATTTGTTTAACCCCAAAAGATAGTTGGTATCGGAGACCTGACATGCACAACTTGACCTTCAACCTCTGAACGGCTTCTTGCTACGTGTTGTGTTCATTTGTTTAACCCCAAAAGATGAGTTATGTCGGAGACCTGTCTGAGGCTGACTTGCACAGTCTGACCTTCAATCTCTATACGGCTTCTTGCTAAATGTTGTGATGTTCATTTGTTTAACCCCAAAAGATGAGTTATGTCGGAGACCTGTCTGAGGCTGACTTGCACAGGCTGACCTTTAAACTCTGAACGGCTTCTTCCTAAATGTTGTGACGTTCATTTATGTTAACCCCAGCAGTTTTAAAGTTTGATGCAGGCTGTGTGTATCACATGCAAGATGACAAGGAATTGTTAAAACTAAAATAAACGAAGTTATCACAGAAATAGTGTGAGAAGCCTCGGTTAGGTGATAGCGCATTCGATTGCTAGCCTGTAAGTCTCGAGTTTGGTTCTAAGGTATAAGTCCTTACAACACCATTGAGATCATCTAGCTATGATAAGTACCTGAATCGAGTCAAATGGAATAAGAGTAAGAGGGCCTAATGTTGGTCACCCTTTTTGGAATAATTTTACACAAGCCAGATCTCTTGAATCTGTTTACAGATCGTAAACACAGGATTTTATTTTTTACTGTACTTAACAGAAAAAGTAAATAAAACAAATCAGCCGTCAGGTTTTAAATGCACCTGGAATCACCAATGTGTACGTTTGTAAAGTTTCCTTTCTAGCCTAACAGTCCCTGGGGGCTGGCGAAGTAGAGTTCACCTGTTTGTGTGACCTCGGCATAGGAAGGTCAGCAATGTGGTCAGCATTATAAGCCAGCCGCCTTTACTTTTTTCCCTTACATCAAAGCTGGGTGAACTCGCTGGCTTTCTACGGACTTGAACCCAGATTCGAACTCGCGACTTTCGGGTTAGCAGTCGTATGCTCTATCATGATTCTACCACGTCCTCCCGTTACAGTTAGTTGGTAGGCCTACTGGTCAAATATTCTTTGATGGATAATAAAAATGTCTGCCTTAGACAAACGTTTACGACCAGAGGCGTAGCGACCCTTCCCGGCGCCCGGGGACAAACTTTTCGATTTGCACCCCCCGTCAAGATTTTGATTTGCACCCCCCCCCCTCAAACTTTCGATTTGCACCCCTCCTTGAGATTAGATTTCCATTTGCACCCCCCCCCACTCAATCTTTCGATTTGCACCCCCCTCAACCTTTCAATTTATTTTTCCAACCCATTTTGGCGCCCCCTAAGGTCGGCGCCCGGGGACATATGTCCCCCCCCCCCCGCCCCCTCCCCCCCTCGCTACGCTACTGTTTACGACCAACTAAAGTCTGTTACTGACAGAAGTCTGCAACAGACTAAACTATGAGACAGACAACAAAACTCTCCGACAGACTAAAGTCTGGGATAAATATCAAATACCAGTGACAGAAAAAGAAAGACAGACACTGATGCTGATCCTATTTATAAAACCCACCAAAACAAAGATGCGGAGATGAAGAATCCAACTTTTTAAATACTTTGCCGCCACATGGAACAGGAACTAGTTACTTCTGATAGAGCATGTTGTACTTAAGATAGAAACTAGTCCTGTATAGTCTCCTGTAGCCGTAAATAAGTATAAACACTTAGCCCCTCATGTTACTAATTATTCCTACAGTTCCCTGTAGCTATAAAGCACTACATAGAACCGTGCCACTACAACAGATATACATAGTTCCAACCCTACTGGCGTTCTAGTTAACACTTCCTAATAGTTTTTTTTTTAATTATTTCCCTTGAGGGTAAAAATAAAATTAATAAAAAATCATAATAAACGACAATTAATTTTAAAATTGTCCAAATCAACTTAATTCATCCTGTATACTGAAAATACTTTGCAGTGGAGCGTTTTTTCCATGAGATATTTTATCTGGAGATAATTTGTCATTGAACCATATACGAGCCTACCCGCGGTGTATCATATGCCGATATATTGTTGTTTTATTTTCTACTTTTCAGTAATTCATAATTTGTGAATTCGAGAGTACCAGTGCTGCAACTGAACATATTTGCTTTAAAACCCTATCAGTAGGTCGTTAAGGACGATACTACCCCCACCCTCCTTTTCCCCCAACCCCTACCCTACACCCCCCCCCCCCCACTTGAAAGCAGCCTCCTCTTAGCTACCTCCCCTAAGTTTAAAATCGTTTCAAACTAAATTATCTACCCCTAATAGCCGTCACTAAACCCGGATCTACGATTGTAAACATTTAGCGTGAATCACAGCTCACCAGACCATGTGGAGGTGGGGGTGGTAGGGGTATGCCTAGAGAGGAAGAGAGGGGGCTGTTAGGCGCATTTACAACTTGGTGTTATCTAGGGTATCTAAGAAGAGAATTATATATATAGATATGTATGTTTATCCAATTATATGTAATGGTCAAGAAATAATTCAACCTGATATGGTTTGGGTTATGTAAGTAATCTACCTAATATTGTGATGGGGGGAGGGGAGTGAAATCACCCCATCCCCTTCCGCAATTTTAACATAAGCCACCGCTTATATATATATATATATATATATATATATATATATATATATATATATATATATCTATATATATATATATATATATATATATATATATATATATATATATATATATATATATAAATTAAAAATACTAAAATATTAAAATCCGTTTTTAGTCACAAGAAGTTTGAAACACCATTCGTATTTCCTTCGAATCTCTTGAAAACACACGCGCACACACACTAAAAACAGATACATATCCACATAGAGACACACCAAGATGAGAATACAACGTAAGAGATAACGTTTTTACAAAAAAATACACGCAATCAACACATTATCGAAATTAATATCGGTATCGCTTGCGTGAAGCAAACGAACAGGGCGCGGGGGGGGGGGGGGGGGGGGAGGTAGTGGTTGTAGCTAAGCGTCTGCATTGCCTCATCGCGTGATTAATGCCAAAACTAATTAACATGCAGCTAATTATCCCCCCTTTGAAATAAAGAAATTATCAGATTTTTTTTAAACAAAAAAAAATGTATACGCAGGAACACTAAACTGAAACCGTGCCGTGCATCTGGGGAAAAATGACACACCACGTTGCCTGGGACCGAGTTGCCCAGCCTCTAAGCCCCCCCCCCCCCCCCGGGCATCCCCTGATTAGCACATCCTCTGCACACACCAACCAAAAATAAAGGGGAGATAACCACGCTGGGTTACAAGGTCACCGTGTCCGTCGCTATTTCCGGTGCGGGGAGTTTAAATGGATCAACTCTCATTACCCCGCTAATTATTTTATTCGCCGAATCGTCCATCCGTGTCACAAACAATTTTATGATCTTTCGATAATTACTTACCCCCCCCCCCCCCCCCCCCCGCCTTTTTTTTCCTCCATTAAAAAAAATCCTACCCCGTGTGTGGTTTAATTGACAACTTTGAAATATTAACTTCATTCCAACTAGTAATGTATCATATCATCTCGCTCCCCCCCCCCCTCCTCCACACGTTTATTGTTGCAATCAATTCCAACTAACACACGGGCTTTGTACATATATTAACACATAAATATATGATACGTAAGGGGGGGGGGGGCATGTGGTATAGATATAACACACGTTACACCCCCCCCCACCATAAACACACATATCCCTCACACAGATTTCCTCACCTACACATACAGAGTGCGTGGCCCTCACACACGTAACCCTCACACACGTAACCCTCACAGACATGCCCTAACACATACTCAATAAGCCCTAACACATACTCGCAATCACAAATAATCCCCCACGTATACCCACACACTACCACACATCTGTATATGCCTCACAAGTGGAGCTGTAGTTACTATAGCAACCATACAGAATTATCAGCCTGCCTAGTCTGTTTACAAAGTCCATTAGAGAAGACTTTCAAGATCAGCAGATGAGCATAATGTTGTCCATAGCTTCCTGTACTGAAGCTATACGGAAAATATCCAAGCTACAGAAACGCATGTATTATTATTATAGCGAAATTAGAAGTAAATATGTGCATGATTAATGAGTTCTTTATAGTTAATTTACAATGTTAGAATGAAGTTACTTATTTAGTATTAATTAATTAATACTGTCATAATTAGTACAACGTAATTAATTGCCAAGCATTAAAAACTTGCGTAAGTATAGTGTTTACTGTACGTTTTTTAAAACATCGAATGATTTATTTTTTGTTAATTATAAATAAATTACTATATAAAATTTTGTATTATGATAATCATTAACCAATAACAGAATTTATAACCAAACAAGAGCATGAATTAATAACATGTGAATGAGTAATGTGGAATATAAATTTAGAAAAATCGAATGACTTATTTATTAATCCCATATAATAGGTCATTAAAACATTATTATCATAATTATTAACCAATAACATAATTTATTATCAAACCTGAGCATGTATTAATAGCATGACCTACAGCCTAAGACATAAAAACTAATATCCATTTGGCTTAATAAAAGATACAACATTGAAAGGGAAATAACTCATGAATATTTTCAAAGATTTATTTCTGCCTACCAGAGTTACTTTGTTTCGTAAGTTCTATCGCAAAAGATAAAATGCATCATTTATAAGCTACTAGTTAGTCCTTGACGTTGTCACTTTGTTGTCTGATAAAACTTTATTAAATTCGATGAGTCGATATTGTATCAATTATGGGCTCGGGGGGTTGGGAGGGGGGGGGGGGGGTTAAAAACTTTAAGTGGGGCACTGCTTCCCTTTAGTAATAAATTAAACAATAGTATAAAAAATTATAAAAACAGTATGAATACAGTATAAAAACAGTATGAAAACAGTATTTTCTCGTTTCTTTAGTTGCTGCTTTTACAGAAGAAAAAAAAAGTAAATATCAGAAACTTCAATTGATAAACAAGCTATCTTTTTTTTTTTAAAATAAAAGTTTCTATTATAACAAACAATTGCAAATTAATTTACTAACTGACTTGTTTTATTTTTCACATGCACTCCAAACCTTGCATGAATCATTGTTTTTTTTTATATGCACAACCATAAACATCTTCGTTTACTGTTTATAAACTATAGAAACGAAACAACATATTGCTTTCATCTTTATTTTTTTAAATCATTTTTTTTTTAAAACCAACGAGATCATTAATTAATTAATTAATTAACTTACTATCATCTCCTGCGAGTGCCCTGCTTTAGTTCAGCACTTAACAACCCCATTAAAATCAGGGTACCATTTTTGATATTCAGAAAGCGAGAGAGACGAGGATTAACATGGCCAAGAACGCCAGCAGCGCGGGCTTCATCAGCGCCAAGAAGAGAGCAGAGGAGCTTCTTCTGGCCAGGGAGGCTGGGCTGGAGCTGGAGGAGAATAACAGGGGGGACATCTTCGAGATGCAGCACCACCATCTGCTGTCTTGTCTGGAGAAAACCACGGTAGGAAATTTTTTTTTTTTTTACGGATAGGCCAGAGCTGAGTTTTTTTTTCAGGCACCTCTTTGGTGACCAACCCCTGCTTACCACCTCCAACCCATACTTGACCGTCCACAACCCCTACTTGACCCCCCACCCAACCCCTACTTGACCGCCCCCAACCCCTACTTGACCGTCCCCAACCCCTACTTGACCGCCCCCAACCCCTACTTGACCGCCCCCAACCCCAACTTGACCGCCCCCAACCCCTACTTGACCATCCCCAACCCCCCTACTTGACCGCCCCTAATCCCTACTTGACCGCCCCCAACCCCTACTTGACCATCCCCAACCCCCCTACTTGACCGCCCCTAATCCTTACTTGACCGCCCCTAACCCCTACTTGACCGCCTCCAACCCCTACTTGACCGTCCCCAACCCCTACTTGACCGCTCCCAACCACTACTTGACCCCCCAACCCCTACTTGACCGCCCCTAACCCCTACTTGACCGCCCCCAACCCCTACTTGACCGTCCCCAACCCCTACTTGACCGCCCCCAACCCCTACTTGACCATCCCCAACCCCCCTACTTGACCGCCCCCAACCCCTACTTGACCGTCCCCAACCCCTACTTGACCCCCCCCCCCCAACCCTTACTTGACCGCCCCCAACCCCTACTTGACCGCCCCCAACCCCTACTTGACCTCCCCCAACCCCTACTTGACCGTCCCCAACCCCTACTTGACCCCCCCCCAACCCCTACTTGACCCCCCCCCAGCCCCTACTTGACCGTCCCCAACCCCTACTTGACCCCCCAACCCCTACTTGACCGCCCCTAACCCCTACTTGACCGCCCCCAACCCCTACTTGACCGTCCCCAACCCCTACTTGACCGCCCCCAACCCCTACTTGACCATCCCCAACCCCCCTACTTGACCGCCCCCAACCCCTACTTGACCGTCCCCAACCACTACTTGACCCCCCAACCCCTACTTGACCGCCCCTAACCCCTACTTGACCGCCCCCAACCCCTACTTGACCGTCCCCAACCCCTACTTGACCGCCCCCAACCCCTACTTGACCATCCCCAACCCCCCTACTTGACCGCCCCCAACCCCTACTTGACCGTCCCCAACCCCTACTTGACCCCCCCCCCAACCCTTACTTGACCGCCCCCAACCCCTACTTGACCGCCCCCAACCCCTACTTGACCGCCCCCAACCCCTACTTGACCGCCCCCAACCCCTACTTGACCCCCCCCCAACCCCTACTTGACCGCCCCCAACCCCTACTTGACCGTCCCCAACCCCTACTTGACCCCCCCCCCCAACCCTTACTTAACCCCCCAACCCCTACTTGACCTCCCCCAGCCCCTACTTGACCGTCCCCAACCCTACCTGACCGTCCCCAACCCCTACTTGACCGCCCCAACCCCTACTTGACCGCCCCAACCACTACTTGACCCCCCAACCCCTTATGACCGCCCCCAACCCCTACTTAACCGCCCCTAACCCCTACTGACCGTCCCCAACCCCTTATGACCACCCCCAACCCCTACTGACCGCGCCAACCCCTACTGACCGTCCCCAACCCCTTATGACCGCCCCCAACCCCTACTTAACTGCCCCTAACCCCTACTGACCGTCCCCAACCCCAGAACGAAATAGAATTTAGAAACAAAATATATACCTTAGTCAGCGACCACCCCCACCCCACCCCTAAATTTAAGTCAGCCTCCCCACCCCCCACCCCACCCCCATCGAAAGTTTCAAATGTCATCCCCTCCCCGTGGAGAAAAATGTCTGAAAGAAACACTGGAGAATTATGTAAGCTTGGGACCCTAAATAACATTCTAACCCTTAAACTAGTCCTAAACTTCTGCTTCAACCAAACCCTAATTTAGACTTCTCTGGGTCGATTTCTGGATGCTTAACTTTACTCTTTGTTCATAAATCACATCACACCTTCCAGTGTGAAGAGGGGGGGGGGAGGTTGGGTGGCTACGAAATTTTCTATTTGATGCGTTAAAAAAGGCTCATATTTCAAAATCTATGGGGGTGGGGGGTGGGATTGCATTCCTATTGACACAAAAAATATAAACGGTCTGCAACTGTCCACAGGATAGAGAGTTCGTTGAGATGGACATGACCTTCAACAACTCAGCCAGCAAGCCAGCAGAGACGCCGCCCCCCTCGCCTGAGCCGTCTATAGTCTCCAACAGACGGAAGTCGAGATGCTGCGGCAAGAGGTCGTCTGTTACCTCAAAGCTAATGTCGCACGAGAAGGTGAGTCACAAACAGAGAAAGCCCGCGTAAATTTCTACCTTGTATTCTTAAAACATAAGAAAAATTCACAGCAAAAAAAAAAGAATTTTAATTATGATAAATATACGAAGTGATATTTTAAAATTTCATGTCGCTTTAGTCTTAATGTTAGGTTTAACCAATGCCGGTTACAACATACCTTTTTGGGTTGGTCTTACATATTTTATAATCTTTTACACACATTCTCAATTAATGTGACTGTACCTTTACATCAATTAACTAAATTATTTCAATCAATCAGTCTATAATTTAATAATTAAGATATTTTGTGTTAGATATTTCTCTGAGATATTTCGTCAGAAATATTGTGTCAATGAAATATTATCGTGTTATATTGTATCTTAAGATTCTTTTGTCAGGTAACCGTTTAAAAATTACGAAAAAAGAATGGTACTATTCATTATTTGGTGCTCACACTACCCATCTCTCCCCACCCCTAAACACACACTTTGCTTAGATCTTATGAGTTAATTACATTGAAATAAACTGGGCTGTATTCGAATGATTAGGAAAGGACAGAGAAGGGGTTTAAAAGATAGATTTAGGAGTGAAGGCCATTTATTTTATCAAGTAGACTAATCATAATTGCATCTGACAATTAAATGCTAAATTGTAATTTCAGAAATAAACTGTTTTTCATATAAACTTTTTTTTGTCTTCTTTAGAAGCGATCTCATTCGAAACACAGCATTGAGCACCAGGAACTGAACGATGTCAGAATGAGGCTCTCGCCCTCTTCCAAAACAGACTCAAGGTCGAGTGGGGTCAACACCTTCGAGGTCCAGGGCTTCTCCAACACCAACCACAACCCCGGGGGCAACGGGCTGAGCAACAACCCGGGGGGCAACGGGTTGAGCAACAACAAATCCAACAGCAGCCAGGATATCTACGGGGGCTACCCTAGCCAGTATCAGCAGAACCTGACCGGTGGCTTCAGGAACACGACCTCTGAGAGCGAGCCCAACATCGGCTCCAAGCTGACCTCTGCCGGTCACCTCAACATCACCACCGCCCTGGTGTCCAGTCCCAACTCGACCGGAAGTTCCGCGTCCGTGCCGGAAGCGTTGCCCGTGTACAGCTCATCATTGCCTTCATCCTCCAACAAAGGGGACATAATCAGGATATCAACGTTATAACCCTTGTCTTGGGACTTGTCAAGGGATACAAGAAAATGATATCAACGCGAAGTGAACGAAAAACAAAATGAGCGAAAACCCGAAAAAATAAAAACTAGCATCTGGAGTTTTACAGTAAAATTTTATAAATAGTTTAAAAGTTTCACCAGCTCTCATATCGAATCTGATTTTTTTTTCCCGAAAGCTGGACACCACCTGACCATCACCGTGTTGGACTGGTAGCTCAAGCTGTTCCGTGCGACATGGCCTGTGCCTTAATTTTGCCACAGGCCAGGGTCAGGGTCATTTGCCCCCTCATCCCTGATTTGTTGTCTGACGTTTTCTGAAAGATGCTTCCAAGCGTCTGTGAGGAACCACGCCGTTTGCAATGTGCTCTGCAAGAAGTGTTTAAATTATTTCAGCCCAACTCCACTGTATTATCGCTCCTCCATTCAGCAGATTCCATTGTTGCGAGCCCACAAGGAAACTCGAAGGAAAAAGATTATGTTACATGCAGAGCTCGTTTTATGTCAAGACCATGTACTGCATTTGTTAAAACTACATAGCCTTCATATAGCATACAAATGTAAACACTTTTAAAAATGCAAGTTAGATTGTTTAATATATTTCCTAGTTATAGTACAGGAAGTTAGTTTTTAAACAAAATAGGATTCTTGGGAGAACTTTGTATTCAAACTTACCAAAACAGTGCTACGATTAATTAGATGACTGGGCAGCTTCAGGGACTGATTAAGCTTGCCCTATGTTGAAACTTATTTAGTGGTCTCTGTGGCTGTTACCTCACGACTGTATGTTGCTATAGATATTGGAAAACATTTTAGGCTTCCTAAAATTCCGGGGCCCCAGCTTGCTGCTCTGTCAACCCTCCACTGCAGTCCTACTCAGCGCAGACCCATCCTTCCCTGCAAAGGTCTCTGTTATATGCTAACACAGAGAACCTGGCTGTTTCCAAAGAGTAAATCTCTCTTCCTTTAAGCTTTTAAACTGAGTAAATCTCATTCAATAAACCTCAACATTTAATGTTCTATTTCAAGATTTCATTGCAGTCTCTGCTCATTTGATTCACATCGCATTCGTAGATCACTGAAATGATCATGATTTTAAAACTGAAAACCAAAGTATGAGAAATGGGGTGAAATGCTGTGAGAAAATGGGTAGAATGGAAAAACACGTGGTGTTTTACTGATCTGATTTACATGTCAAAAGGCTGTGACTTTGTACATAAACATACTAGTGCACTGTTTATTTGTATGTCTTATGTACATAAACATACTAGTGCACTGTTTATTTGTATGTCTTAGTTCAGTTGCTCTGTCTATGCTGTTGAAACTGACATTTTATAACATAACAATAGATATTCTAATTTATTTTTTAATTTATGGGTGTTGGGAATTCTAAACTTTTTTGGTGATTTTTAAAAAAAAATGTTGATATTATCTTAAAATGCAAAAAAAAAAAGGCTAAATTTAGTTGATGATAAGGCACGCATATTTGTAAATATATATATTGGGCTAAGGGTATTTCTTTGTTTAAAATATGTTATGAACGTGAGTGATATTGACATTGTTGATTCTGTGTCTGTTGAAGTTAGTTAAAATAGTATATACTGTTGATAACACTTCGATAGTTTATAATCACGGTTGAAACATGTTGATGCCATTTTTTTTTTAAAAACAAGAATAATTTTTTTATTACTCGCATGGTTGTGTGGCACTGATTTTAATTTTGTAAAAAATTTGGCGAAATCTGTCCCTGTAAATATCACCCCATTTAAATACTTTAACATCGTGAAGCATGAGAATTAATTCGTACCCTTTGATCATAGATACCCAAAAGCAGTGAGTTTAAATTGTTTTACATTTTAGATAAGTGACAGCTTTTTTAAATTTACCATAACATTAAGTCAAATTATCTTCAATTAACACTCATTAACTTGTCCGATTTTCCTGTGTTTGATTGAGGAAAACAAAATGGAATGGGTCAAACTGAATTCCTTCCCCTGATCTCCGGATATGTGAAAAGGGGAGATCAGTCACTAGCATAACAAGATATACCTCATGACGTTTCATTCTCTTCAACATCATCCCATTTCGAGAAGTATGATTTATTTTTATTTATACAAAATAATGTTGATACGACTTGTTGACACGGATGCCAGTGATATCAACCCCCCCCCCCCCCCCTTTCATGCCATGATTTAATTTTTTTTTTCTCAAAGGTCAGTTTAGGATCACAGTGGTGGGGGGGGGGGGGGGGGGGTGCAAAAATAATGGAAAATAATCACACAAATAAATATATAATAATAAATATTTAATGACAAAGACTATAAAGCTCATTTTAGTAGTAAGTTTAGGATTACAATGGGAAAGGAGGGGGGGGGGGCTGCAAAATAATCCTAAATAAGCCTAGAAGACTATTGGGAACATTATTTATTATACACTAAAATCAGCAGAGGACAATTTTTTTTAAAATTAAGGTGTGACTTTTTTTTAAGCATGTACTGTGAAAACATGTAAGTGTGCACACACAACAGAGGACAAAACATGTTTAGACTGGATATGACATCATCATTATATTATTTTTTCTCAGGGCCAGATTGACTATAAATAAATTCCTTTAAGTCAAGTTTTGTTTCCTTTAAAATTCGTGTGCTGGTTTTTTTTTTTTTTTTAACTAAAATATTCTTGTAGAGAGAAAGATGGCCAGTCATGCACTGCCTGCTGATGTCTAATTAATCTAAGGTTCAACTTACTCCAACTTTATTCAGCTCCATTCATCACCATCCTAATTCAAATCTGCACTTTTTACCCTCTCATCATTTTTAATGTATACATGTGTCTTATCTGGTATTTTTTTAAAATAACATTTCAAAGTGTTTTTATTTTAAAATTCACATTAATTTTTTTAAATCATTTTTTGTCAAGTAGCATATAGGCCTAAGCAACGACTGTTCTATAAAATATCTTCAAGAAATTAATATATTATTATGACAAAAAAAATCAAGCACCGGTATATAGATTTCTCATACTTAATTTCTCTCTAACACTATTACTCTTATATTCAGATTCATGAAAGTATACTTATATGAATATTAACTGTTTCATTCTTTTAGTCAAAATATTTCAGCATTCTTGTACACATAATTTACACTTTTCTTGAAGCAAATGTGTAAATTTTCATTTAATCCTTTCCAACCTAAATGCAAGCTCACTTAAATCACTGCATTTATTCCATTGGGAAACATTTTTCAATACTGCTTGTTGTTTGAAAAAAAAATTAAACTGTTTTTTTTTAATAAACAATGATAATTATTATAATTGTAAATGAGTTGAATATGTTACATGCAAATTGTGAAATGATGCAGTGAGATTCTTTTTTTTTTTTTGACATATGGTAGAAATAGATGAATCTCTATTTCTTTTTCTTTTTAATTATTGTTTCAATACTTCCCTCTTTGCACTATAAATATTGTTCTTTATGATTCACATTTTTAATATACCAAGGATCTTGGACAATGCTTCTATGTGCTGTAGCTTATGCACTGATTGCCTAGCCTACAGATCTTTCTGTAGTTGGTTTAGCCCAGACCAGAAAAGGAAAACTAATTTTCTTTTTATGATTGAGTTTGGTTGATGTATTTTATTGGGTTTTTTTCCATAGTGTTGTGTATCTTCGCTAATGAGTTAATAGCTAGTAAGGATAGCAATTGTAATTTTACTAACTTCTAAGCAATCTATCTTAAAACCATAAAAAAAGTTAAAGGACATATGTAAAATAAAGAAATAAATAAATTGCATGTGCAGATTACAAACTACCAGTAATTAATCATACACTAAAGAACAATGCTAATTTTTTATACCCATGTTTTCCTATACCCTATTTCCATTTCACATGATAAAAACTATAGTATACCCCAACAGTTTTTATATCAGCAGTACAATTCTTAACACTGTCATAATGAGGAACATTCTATTGAGAACTCCAGCAGATTAAAGTGTAGTGCATGGCCAATTATTTCAGAACCCTTCGCAACATTTGCTGTAACAAAGCTCATAAGCTTTTAACGTATATGGCTATCAAATATTTAAGCTCCTGAACATATCTTACAAAAGTTACCAGAATAAGAAACAGAATCACCACAATGTTGATGAAGTATTTTCATATAAAACAAAAAAAAAACACTCTTTTATAAATAAGTTATTATTTGCTATTAAAAAACTTAAACATTAATTTAATTTTTATTTGTAGAAGTAGATGTTTAGAAAACGGGGAACAAAAATTTAAGCTTAAAAAAAGAAAACTTTAATCTCTGAAGCTTAGCATTGTCTTCCAGTAGAGCTTTGTTTCCCCTTTATTTTTTTTTCAAACTTGAAACGTTCGCCTGCACCTGTTATTAAATTCCAAACACATTTTTAAAACATAAATTCTTGCCAGTTAGAAATCTACACAAACTAATTAAATGAATAACTGTTTGTTTTCTTCTATAGTTGATATCGGCTTCAGTGATGAACAAGTTTAGTTTGATCTGAGACCAAATAAGTTTAGTTTGATCTGAGACTGAATAAGTTTAGTTTGATCTGAGACCAAATAAGTTTAGTTTGATCTGAGACTGAATAAGTTTAGTTTGATATGAGACCGAATAAGTTTAGTTTGGTCTGAGACCAAATAAGTTTAGTTTGATCTGAGACTGAATAAGTTTAGTTTGATCTGAGACCAAATAAGTTTAGTTTGATCTGAGACCGAATAAGTTTAGTTTGGTCTGAGTCCAAATAAGTTTAGTTTGATATGAGACCGAATAAGTTTAGTTTGATCTGAGACCAAATAAGTTTAGTTTGATCTGAGACCAAATAAGTTTAGTTTGATCTGAGACTGAATAAGTTTAGTTTGGTCTGAGACCAAATAAGTTTAGTTTAATCTGAGACCGAATAAGTTTAGTTTGATCTGAGACCAAAAAAGTTTAGTTTGATCTGAGACCGAATAAGTTTAGTTTGGTCTGAGACCGAATAAGTTTAGTTTGATCTGAGACCGAATAAGTTTAGTTTGATCTGAGACCAAATAAGTTTAGTTTGATCTGAGACCAAATAAGTTTAGTTTGATCTGAGACAGAATAAGTTTAGTTTGATCTGAGACCAAATAAGTTTAGTTTGATCTGAGACCGAATAAGTTTAGTTTGATCTGAGACCGAATAAGTTTAGTTTGATCTGAGACCGAATAAGTTTAGTTTGATCTGAGACCGAATAAGTTTAGTTTGATATGAGACCAAATAAGTTTAGTTTGATCTGAGACCGAATAAGTTTAGTTTGATCTGAGACCAAATAAGTTTAGTTTGATCTGAGACTGAATAAGTTTAGTTTGGTCTGAGACCAAATAAGTTAAGTTTGATCTGAGACCAAATAAGTTTAGTTTGATCTGAGACCGAATAAGTTTAGTTTGATCTGAGACCGAATAAGTTTAGTTTGATCTGAGACCAAAAAAGTTTCTGAGACCGAATAAGTTTAGTTTTATCTGAGACCACAGAGTGTTTGTAGTTCCACAGCCCACTGATCTTCCATTTGATAATTCAATAATGCTTTAGGTTTCAACATGTTAACTTAAACCGTATAATTGTTCCATTTCTATGTTGTTAATTTTTTAATGGACTCTATTGTATGCCATGTACTAACTCACATAATAATTATTTGCATAATCCTACATTTTTTAATATATTTTAGACACTAATTTTCTTAGCCTGCTAAGATGACACTTTTTAACTAACCTATTCAAAACCAAAGGTTTATTTCTTTCATTTTTTTTCCAATAATATTTTATACATAATAAGCATTGCATTTTGACTTTTTGCTTGAATAAAAACATTTTGTGGGTTGTCTCTCTTTGAACATGATGCTAGGCATAACAAGTGTAGATAACATATTACCCTGTGGTTTTTTTTTATTGTAGAATGATGTAGTAATCTGAGCATGTGAACACAGTTGAATGCTATTGTAACTGGTAAAGTAAGACAAAAAAAACATTAAATAGAATTTCTGTTATAATTTTTTTTTGTTATATTATGTAGTTTTTTTTTCCTTTATTAATCAAACTTATAAAAATAAACTTAATATTTTTAAAATATTAAAATATCATTTCAGATTATGCATTTTGTATGCTTTTCAAATTATTTTTGTATAGAAGATACTAATATCTAACAATAGTTTTTTCAACTCTGTCCCCAAAAAAAATTGTTTTATTTTTATTCGATAATTTTCCTAATTAAAACAAGCATGCTGATTTAAATATTTCTGGTCAATTTTGTGTAATACATATTAATTTAATACTAACATAAAAAGTACAATAAATTTTATAATAAGTAAATGAAGCTAAATCATTATTTATAATGGAATTTCACAATTTATTTATGATTGGTCTGTATTTGTTTAGTTTGAAAAGAAAATTTTAATTATACTTGTAGTGTCCTATCTGAAATCATTAGCTATAATAAAACAAACTATGAAACAATATATTTTTAATTTAAGTTTTAAATCTATTTTATTTTTAAAATATTTATTAAAGCAACAACTATTCTGTCGAAGTTCAGTTATTCCAAATTAAAGCCACAACTCTAGACATCACTTTTCCAAAACATCAACAATTTAGCCAACTTTGTTATTTTTTGGCTTCTCTATTTTTTTAAAACTAAACCTACCAACTGAAACTACTCTGATATTATTTATTGTTAATTAATTCTCAAATAATTTTGTGTTCATTTGTTTTGAATTTTTTGTTTCAACTTCAAACATTGTTTATGCCATTGTTTTCTTCATTATGGTGACTATAATTAATTAAATTACGGTTAATTTGTTTTATAACCCAACCCATACCTGAGACCCCCTTGTATGGACATGAGGCTTGAGTTCTTATCCATGAATTGATAATGATTTTACCAGCTATTTAAGTGGTTGAGATACAATCTAAATAAAAAGATCTTTTTACACAAACAAATGATTTTTTTTAATATGTATTTGTAACATTAGAGATTGTGTACATAGAAATATGATGATGTATTATGCTGTTGTTTTGGGTAAAAGCCAAGTATAATTTTTTTCCCGTTTTTTTCCAAGGGACTTGGGCAGATGGAGTAGTCCTCAATGTCATAGAAGGGTAGTATGGCCAGTACTATGTCCAGCCGCCTTGGTTTTCATTACTTGAGTCGGGTACCTAATAGAGCTGAGTTGACTCAGAGGCATCATATAAACTCTAGCCCTGAATCTAAACTTAAGGTTTTTGATAATGTCTATAATCCAACCACCCAAAGTGCGTATAGGGCTATGGTAAATAATTACCATCTCGACTAGTTGGATAAATGGGTTGCAGAATAATTTGCGGCGGTTTATTTATAAAGCTCATTTAGAAGATTTTTTTAAAGTCACACTTTCTGACCCCCCCCCCCCCCCACACACACACACACGCCCATACTTGCATCACATATTCACTTAAGTCCAAGACAACCCATCTCCCTCCGTCCTTACAAAATACAGACCCCGTCCCCTAGAATTTGTTACCTAATTTGCTTGCTTAAACACGGGGTTTGAAGGAATTGTGTAATCAGCACTATGCCTAGCCATTTTTAATTTCCCCAATGCACAGTAGGTGGAATCTACAACAGCAGAGTTTCTTCCAGGTATCTCTTCGAAATGGAATCTATGTAGAAAATATATACTTTTACTAGTCTCCGCCCCACCCCCCTCCGGAAAATGTTGACCCCCCCAATATCATGTGCCCCCCCCCCCTCCCCCGGAGAAAAAAGTCTGGAAGAAACACTGCCTTCAGGGCTGAGTGGAGTCAAGAACGTCACTCGCCCGGGAATCGAACTCACGGCTTTCGGGGTAGTGATCGTGTGTTCTTGTGTTCTACCTCTCTGCCTCTTACTTTCGCATTCAAGACTATTAGTAATCAAGCCTGACCTACTTCCAAAAACACACACCATGTCCAAGTTCACAATGAGAAGCTGGTTCTAAAAACCAACTTGGTTAAAAGTTTTGTTTGGTCCTTACTTTGTATCGTCAGTCTTCATTCAAAAAAATTTCAGTAAGATCCACGGGAACTTTGTCAGTGGATGGTCAAATGTTAGCACTCACACGCCCCCCCCCCCCCCCCAATGGAGCTGAGATCCCAACAGTTTGAACAAGTAAACAGATAAGATACTTTATCAGCCTGGAACAGCCTTGACCTTTAGACAAACAATGTCAACTGTCTTAAATTAGATCAACTGCCGAATTCAACCAAGTTGTCCATTATCCACGCATAAAAAAACTCGATTAGAAGAGTTCAGCTCACAAGCTACACACCACACGGATAAACACGATTCGAATTGTTAAACTGACACACTACACATCTTGAACTGGGTCACGTGTCTTCATAACCATCATTTTAACGGTAAGTTTTTAATTGTATTTATATTTGTTCCCATTCTAAGCATTTTACCAGTGTTGCTATAAGCAAAGGGTCTCCAAACTTTTCAGCCCGAGAAATATCAGTTCGAGGGCCAGAGTAACTTCCAGGCATCTCTTCGGGGTGGCAGAGCCCTACCCCCCCCCCCCCACACACACACACACTGGTGGGGGTCGACAACACACTCGACATCCAAGTTTGTTTTTCAAATTTTTCTTCACGTATTTCATTATTGAAAATGTTTGTACACACAGGTGTGTTGTTGCAAAATTTGAAAGGTAATCTGATGCAAAAGTTATAATATTAGGAAATTATTCCTTTGGCAAAAACTTATAAAAACCACCCGCCCTTCTTTGAACTGGTCGCTAAGGAGTTCATTTGCTTGCAGTTCAGTGACCTCCAGCTGCAGTTAATCTGGGCAACTGGCCACATTTGCTTCAAATGGGTTTTGAAACAGTGTCGCTTTTTCTGCCAAACCCTAACCCGTTTAGCCTATGTGACTTTATAAAATTCACCATCTTCAACACAGGATTCAGTACACTGCTTATATTAAGCACACAAAACTTGCTTATGAATAATACAGTGCAAAAACATTGGTTAAAAATGTCTTTCTCGTTACACATCTGCTTCACTTGTCCAACCAAGCCTTTCTTTATGCCACTCAAGTTTTTCCTCCATCAACAGTAAGGTAACTGAGGTTAGTCCAGTTCAAGTAATAATCAGCAAATGTTTTTTTTAACCTAGCTCTGGTACCTTAGAAAAAATTACTTGTTTGGTACCATGGGGGCAGTTTGACCCCGTAGTAAAAAATAGACTGTATAACTAGAATAATAACAGATAATTATAATATATATAGATATGTGTTTTTGGCAAAATATGATACTACAATGTGTGAATACATACTGGGTTAATTATGTATCCATGTTTATTAGGCTTTATTTAGGATATTTCAAGCAGACCCAATGTCATTGCTCGCATTGGTTGCACACTCGCTTGGTATGTTCTTCGCTCACAAACTGATTGCACTCATTACAGACGAGTTTGGTTTGCTTGTCACGTGATCTGAGAAAAAAATACAACATCTCTTGCGTTGTCCTGAATGAGGTTGTGTGGTGCTTGCTGTTTGTGTTAGTGCCTCCACAATACCGTAGGTAGGCATGTTCTGTTTGACATCTTTTGGCGTCTGATTCATTTCCAATCGTTGATACGCATGTGGAGTAACCAAAGCAAGGATCAGTTCCTTCAAGAACGTTTGTCGTTTGTTTTTGTTTACGTTCTCCAACGTTGGACACCTTTCAAGTAAAAATAACACAAGCGTTCAAGGCATCACTTTCAATCTTTCCAGAACATACCCTCATTGGCCAACGATTTGCTTTTCTTGCCGTGGTATAAAAGCTGCACATTTGATCATGGCTGTCTACAACACCTTTTTCTTGGTTGTTAAATACATTTATTAATTATTATTTCCCAGTAGCTGCATCAATATTTTTTTGGGGAATGCATGGTGGACAGATATACGACACTTGTGTTCTTCTTTGGAAAAATGAAGAAGAGAATGTAATCATTTGCATGATCAAATGCGTTTTGAACTTTTTTCTCTACTGCTTTCGTCAAAAATGACGAGAAGAATGTATCATTTCCAATCTAATTAGATATCAAATTAGTCATAAAAATTTAATTTAAAGATTACCATATTAACTAGACTGCTAACCCGACAGTCTCGAGTTCTAATCCGGGTTCAAATCCGGGTTCAAATAGTTAGAACGTCCATGAGTCCACCCAGCAGGATGGGTAGGCCTACCTAACTCACGTTAGGGAAACAAAGGCGGCCGGGCATAGTGCTGACCACTGTATCCCCTTGTATGCTGAGGTCTTCGAAACAGATAACTCTACTTCATCTACCCAGTGTGTCTAGGGCACAAACGGGAAAAAAGATATTAAACGACGCTAAGGGAGATAACAGGATTAAGTACAAGAGATCGCTCGTCAGCGGAGAGTTCTTGTTCATGGATGTTTCTATGTCAATGAACCGACCAAAGGCGGTAATAAGAGGCAGACATAAGCATAAGTTGTTTACATTTAAAATAAACATGGAAAAAGGAGCAAGATTTTGGTATTAAGATCTCAAAGTACTTACCTTACAATATGCTCTGATCAAGAGTTAAAATCTTACTGATTGGGTTCTAAAGCAAACAGTTTAGTCGTATGGGTTATCGAGTTAATTAAGAAGAAGCGGAATGGGGGAAAACAAAATTAAAAAACCCACTCGTTTAAATGTCAAATTAGTTTCACCCTTTCTTTTAATTTCTTATTGTAAAGTTTTCTTACCGTATAATTTTGTCACCGTTTAATTATCTTACAGTATAGTTTTTTTATCGTATGGTTTTCTTACCGTCTCTCCCCAAGCCAAGAGAATGTTGACCCTGAAGGAACTGTGTGCGGGCCTGCCCCTGGCACCGATACCAGAGCTGACCCCCCGGGATGAGAGCGTCCCTCACGCGCCCACTAGACTACAGGAACTCACTCTAGCTGAGGAGAAGGTAAAGCTCAGCTCTTTTCTAGTCTAGCATTTTATAGTTCTAGCAAATCTACATATTGTGATCGAATTGCTCAGATTTTCAAGCAAATATTTGTAGTAGTAGGTCGTGTTGACATATTTCTAAAAAAATAAAAAAGTGTATAATAATAAGCTTTAAAACGCACTAAAAATTAACTAGTTGAATAAAGCAAGTGTTTAAAAATTGCTTTGTTTAATAAACGTTAAAAGCATAGGTCGCTGGGGATATTTCTTATAAATTAAATGTTTTTGTTAAAGAAAGCTAGTTTTTTTAAAAATGTTTTCAGTGCATTTAAAAGCTTATTATTATAGAGCTTTTTTATATGTGTTTATAAATAAACATGCAACAGCCCACACAAAACACGATAGACAGAAATATTTAGCCAGATAAAATTTCAACACATCGGACTAAGGGGAGGAGGAGACAAGAAATTTTTGTATCTGAAGGAATGAATATTATATATTAAGACTGGTTACCTTAAGACGACTGTGACAGATCGACTCTACTTCCTCTGTCTCCAGCTGGCCGTACAGAACGCCCTGCGGTACTTCCCATCCGAACACCACGAGCTTCTAGCGACAGAGTTCGCCATCGAGCTCAGAACGTATGGCCACATCTACATGTACAGGTTTAGGCCCAACATTCACATGAGGTAAGGGGGGGGGTGTACATGTACAGGTTTAGGCCCAACATTCACATGAGGTAAGTGGGGGGGTCACATGAGGTAAGTGGGGGGGTCACATGAGGTAAGTGGGGGGGTCACATGAGGTAAGTGGGGGGGGGGGGGTGTACATGTACAGGTTCAGGCCCAACATTCACATGAGGTAAGTGGGGGGGGGGGTCTACATGTACAGACTCAGGCCCAACATACACATGAGGTAAGTGGGGGGGGTCTACATGTACAGGTTCAGGCCCAACATTCACATGAGGTAAGTGGGGGGGGGGTCTACATGTACAGGTTCAGGCCCAACATTCACATGAGGTAAAGGGGGGGGGTGTACATGTACAGGTTCAAGCCCAACATTTACATGAGTGAGGGGGGGTCTACATTTACAGGTTCTAGCCCAACAGATGTTCTTTGGGGCACTATTATTCAGAGGTTTGGAGATTGTCTTTGTTGATTTGTTTTTTCAGAGCGTACCCTATATCTGAATACCCGGCCAAGTGTACGGCGGGTGCTGCCATCATGCATATGATTATGAACAACCTTGACCCCACTGTGGCCCAGTTTCCGCATGAGCTGGTCACTTATGGAGGAAATGGCCAAGTGTTTTCTAACTGGGCACAGGTAGGCCTGACTTGACAGTTTGTAAGGTAGGCCTTGACCAAAGTAGACAGGCATAGCCTCTGTAAGCCACATCTTGACCTAAATTGACCTGGATGTACAAACACCTTTTTAAATTGACAAGTGTTGCCATTTCGTTTGCTGGACGGTGACACCTTGGCTTACCACGTTCGGTATCACCCGACCTAGTGACGCCACTGAGCAGTGTCTATAGACATCGGTCAACAGTCACATGAATGTATACGATGACCTGTCCTTTCCATCACATGATCACCACATTCTATCCATCCCATGAATGTAAAACATGATCACCAGTCCAATCCATTCCATGATGACCAAACTCTATCCATCCCATAATGACCAATCCAATCCATCCCATGAATGTATACCATGATGACCATCCTTGACCACCTCTACCTCCAGTTCTGGCTGGTGATGCACTACCTCTCCGAGCTGACGGAGGAGCAGACGCTGGTCATGTACTCGGGTCACCCCATGGGGCTGTTCCCGAGCTTGGTCAGCTCCCCACGACTGGTCATCACTAACGGAATGGTGAGTACACATTTAGGGTGAGTAGGATCTGCATTTAGCTTAGCACTTAGATTTATAATAGCTTAAGGTTTTTTACTTTCTCGTATACGAAGTATAGAGGAAGTTATGTAATCGTGCAGAAATAAAAAATCGAGATTTTTTCAAAACTCGACGTTTTACACCTCCCTGAGTCAGAAAAACATGGTTTTGCAATTTTGTCCGTATCTGCGTGTGTGTGTGTGTGTGTCCGTGTTTAAACACGATAACTTGAGTACCGTTACAGCTAGATTGATGAAATTTCATAAATAAGTATTTTATCAAAATCGTAGATCCGTATCAACTTTTGAGCGATTTGCGATAACCGGAAGTGGTACTTTTTTAACTTTCAATTTTTCAAAAGCCTATAACTTGAGTACTGTTTAAGATAGATAAATGAAATTTCACAAGTAAGTAAAAGATCTAATTCTCTGTCTTCCGGCAAACTTTGAGTAATTTCCGTTGACCGGAAGTAGTAATTTACGCTATTTCCAATTTCTCAAAAAAAAACGCATGTGAATTTAAAAATGTACTAATAATATTCCGCACTATTATACACATTGTTTGACATTCACTTGGCGCGCAATTCTTTTTTATACGAGATTCTATTCCATCTTAAAAAGTTTAAGTAATTAAAAATAGATTAAAAATCATGTCTCTATCCCGAGTTGCCATCCCCCGTAGTGTTATATAAGAATGTTCGAGAAATTTGAGGGAGATCACTCCCGGTTTATTTTATACTGACCTGTTTCGTTCTTTTTGTTTCTTTATTTTTTCTGCGCCAAATAGTAATCAATGTCCTCTAGAAAATATCGCTCTGTGTAAAAATATTTTGTTTCTACCCCACCTGGATACTTATACATTTTCTTTCCCCTCAGATGGTGCCGAACTACTCAAGCCGTGAGATGTACGACAAGCTGTTCTCCCTTGGTGTGACGCTATATGGGCAGATGACAGCCGGTAGCTACTGCTACATCGGTCCTCAGGGGATCGTGCATGGTACCACGGTAAGTGGGTAGCTACTGCTACATCGGTCCTCAGGGGATCGTGCATGGTACCACGGTGAGTGGGTAGCTACTGCTACATCGGTCCTCAGGGGATCGTGCATGGTACCACGGTGAGTGGGTAGCCACTGCTACATTGGTCCACAGGGGATCGTGCATGGTACCACGGTAAGTGGGTAGCTACTGCTACATCGGTCCTCAGGGGATCGTGCATGGTACCACGGTAAGTGGGTAGCTACTGCTACATCGGTCCTCAGGGGATCGTGCATGGTACCACGGTAAGTGGGTAGCTACTGCTACATCGGTCCTCAGGGGATCGTGCATGGTACCACGGTAAGTGGGTAGCCACTGCTACATCGGTCCTCAGGGGATCGTGCATGGTACCACGGTAAGTGGGTAGCTACTGCTACATCGGTCCCCAGGGGATCGTGCATGGTACCACGGTAAGTGGGTAGCTACTGCTACATCGGTCCTCAGGGGATCTTGCATGGTACCACGGTAAGTGGGTAGCTACTGCTACATCGGTCCTCAGGGGATCGTGCATGGTACCACGGTAAGTGGGTAGCTACTGCTACATCGGTCCTCAGGGGATCGTGCATGGTACCACGGTAAGTGGATAGCTACTGCTACATCGGTCCTCAGGGGATCATGCATGGTACCACGGTAAGTGGGTAGCTACTGCTACATCGGTCCCCAGGGGATCGTGCATGGTACCACGGTGAGTGGGTAGCTACTGCTACATGGGTCCTGGTGTATCATGTAGCATGGTAAGCGAGCAGCTACCTCGACATTGGTCTACATGAGAAAGGTAGCATTCTGCTTCATGCTACTAATTTACTCAGTACTGTTTACAAGCTGTATTTTTGGCAACAAACAACGACTGTGTGTTCGATTTTTAAATTTTGTAACTCAAAACCTTTCTTGAGCGACCAAATATTTTTCTAGCATGGCTAATGAAAAATCGTATTTACTTTTATATATTGCGTTATTAAAATTTTGTTATAAAGTATGCTCTAAATTTTATTTTAAAGATACGAAGATTTAGTATCTCTAAATAGCATTTAATCTAGAGTGAATTTTTTTGTTGTGTATCAACGTTGCATCTTAAATTAAACTTAGTTTAGTTTATTTCTGTTCACTACATATTGCCTTCTCTTTTCAAATCTAGTTGACTATATTAAATGCTGCAAGGAAAAACCTCCACACCAACGACCTATCTGGGAAGGTGAGTTCAACTTTTTATTGGATTCTCTTTTAAAATAAATAAATTGTTGGCCATTTTGTATAAGATGTGTAGCCAATGGCGTAGCTAGGTAGGGTGCTGACGGGGGGCACATTACAATCCGGGCTGATCTTGTTTTCTCTATAGATGTATTTTTGGAATTAGGGAAGCAAACGCTAAAACTGACGCTAAGACTTATTAAAAAATACTTATATTCTAAATGTTCAGCTATAATCTGGTTTGAATACGTATTGATTGGAACTGGTTGCTGAAAAAATGTATAGATTTTAAAATTATTTTTATTTGAAGTTTAAAACAAATTAAACAATTTACAAGGCTGAGAAAATTTACTCGAAATGTATAGTTACGCTAATCCATCTTCGATGGATGTAATCTACCAGCTGTCTGTTTCAGGTGTTCGTGAGTGCTGGACTGGGTGGGATGAGTGGGGCTCAAGCGAAGGCTGCGGTCATCTCTGGGTGTGTGGGCGTCATAGCAGAGGTAAAAATAGACCTACAGGTCTCACGTGACCGTGTCGTGTGTTTTTGTCCAGATTTCTTCTGTATCCGGTTCTCTCTACCTCGCTATTCAACTCTTCTCACACACCCCTCCTGTCTCTCTTATTACTAATCCGTGCCTCATCTTTCCGTCGTATCCCTCTGTCTTTTTTCTTTTTCCCCGTTTCCTCTTTATTTCTCTTACACAATCACTTCCGCTTCTCTCTCGCGCCATCTCTCCGTTTCACTCACTATGCCTCTCTCTCTCTCACATCCTATGCCTCCCTCCCCTATTACCTCCCTCGCCTCCTCTCTTTTTCTCTTTCTATGACTCGCCCCTTTACACCTATCCCCCTCCCTATTACAATTATCCTCCTCTTCTTCACTCCCTATCTCTCCCTCTTCCTATGCCTCCCCCCTTACACCCATCCTCACTCCCCTCACTCCCCTTCCTCTCTTCCTATGCCTCCCCCCTTACACCCATCCTCACTCCCCTTCCTCTCTTCCTATGCCTCCCCCCTTACACCCATCCTCACTCCCCTTCCTCTCTTCCTATGCCCCCCTCCACATTTTCTCCCTCCCCATGGCTCCCTCTCCAGCTCTTCTCTTACAGGTCAGCGAAGAAGCCCTCCTAAAACGGTACAACCAAGGCTGGGTCATGGAGCTGGCTGAGGATCTGGACAACCTCGTAGCTCTACTGAGGAACGCCAGGAGACGGAAGAAGCCGGTCAGCATAGGTTACCATGGTAACGTCGTTGACGTTTGGTAAGCTGGTGACACTTTTTTTTTAAATCTCTTTTGGCTACGAGTGTATCAAGTTTTTAAAATTTGTTTCAATCTGTGTTCTACATTGTCCTGACAAAATTACGTTTTTAAATTATGCTTATTTTTGGGCATAGCGCTGACCACACAATCCCTTTATAATTTTTATATGCCGAGGTCACAGTACTTCACTTGTCCTATGGACCGTCAGGTTCGAAAGGGTATCTTTACTTTTACAATAGCGTTGGGTCCAATAAAACTGGGTCCAATAAAAGAAGTATGTGCAATATAGTTGTGTTTAATACTGTTGTGTTTAATACAGTTGTGTTTAATACAGTTGTGTTTAATTATGTTGTGTTCAATACAGTTGTGTTCAATACAGTTGTGTTCTGTGTAGTGGTGTTGAGTTCAGCAGTGGTCCATAAAACGTTTGCGTTCAATACAGTTGTATTTAATACAGTTGTGTTTAATACAGTTGTGTTCAACGCAGTTGTGTTTAATTAAGTGGTGTTGAGTCACTGGTCCATAAAACTTTGTTCTGTACCCTCCACAGGGAGCGTCTTGTGATGGAGTACGAGGCCACTGGTGAACTTCTGGCTGACCTAGGCTCTGACCAAACCTCCTGTCACAACCCCTTCCAGGGCGGCTACTACCCCGTACAGCTCAACTACCAGGAGTCCAGGGACATGATGTACCAGGACCCTGGCCAGTTTAAGCTGTTGGTGCAGGAGAGGTAGGGGGTCAGTTTAGGAGAGGGTTCAGTATAGGAGAGGTAGGTAGGTCAGTCTAGAAGAGGGGTCAGTCCAGGAGAGGGGTCAGTCTAAAAGAGATAGATGGGCCAGTCTAGGAGAGGGGTCAGTCTAGGAGAGGGGTCAGTCTAGGAGAGGGGTCAGTCCAGGAGAGAGGGGTCAGTCTAGGAGAGGGGTCAGTCCAGGAGAGGGGTCAGTTTAGTAGAGGGGTCAGTCCAGGAGAGGGGTCAGTCCAGGAGAGAGGGGTCAGTCCAGGAGAGAGGGGTCAGTCTAGGAGAGGGGTCAGTCCAGGAGAGGGGTCAGTCTAGTAGAGGGGTCAGTCTAAAAGAGATAGATGGGCCAGTCCAGGAGAGGGGTCAGTCTAGGAGAGGGGTCAGTCCAGGAGAGGGGTCAGTCCAGGAGAGGGGTCACTCTAAAAGAGATAGATGGGCCAGTCTACGAGAGGGGTCAATCTAGAAGAGGGGTCAGTCTAGGAGAAGTGGGCGGGTCAATCTATGAGAGGGGTCAGTCTAGTAGAGGGGTCAGTCTATGAGAGGGGTCAGTCTAGTAGAGGGGTCAGTCTAGGAGAGGGGTCAGTCTAGTAGAGGGGTCAGTCTAGGAGAGGGGTCAGTCTAAAAGAGATAGATGGGCCAGTCTACGAGAGGGGTCAATCTAGAAGAGGGATCAGTCTATGAGAGGGGTCAGTCTAGAACTGCAAGTGAGCTAAACCCACCACCCCCATCTACTTCAGTCTCTGTCGTCAAGTGAAAGCCATCAACAAGTTGGCGTCACGGGGAATGTTTTTCTTTGACTACGGCAACGCTTTTCTACTCGAGGCAAGCAGGGCCGGTAACTATAATTGTGTATCTTCTCTTTTAGTTTACTTTGAGAAAGTGTTAAAAGATTTTCTCCGCTTGTGTTGTGTGGACTGTAGAACTACATGGATAAGAACGTTACTGCTATACGTTAACGTTGTATTTCATTGACATAGACTTAAACCAAAAAGTACAGAAATTTAACAGTTTTGGAATAATGGCTTTCATGTAAGGGGTACTTTGATTTTCTCAAAAGCTGAGTGACGTACAGCCAGTTAAAATGTTCAGGGCGTCGCCCCCCCCCCCCCCCCACACGTCAGCTGATATACTTATACTTATCTTAATCTAGGAAAAATTTACATCACTTGGATATGACTGCGTGCTATTTCCGTTTGTAAATTTAGTCCTGTGTTCCAGAGGCGTAGCGACCCCTCCCGGCGACAAACTTTTCGATTTGCACCTCCCCCCCCCTCAAGATTTCGATTTGCACCCCCCGCCTCAAACTTTCGATTCCCATTTCGGCGCCCCCTAACGTCGGCGCCCGGGGACATATGTCCCCCCCCCCCCTCGCTACTGCTGTGAATTGATTAATATAGACCTGTATTTGACGTGTTATTTCCGTTTTGTTAGTTTGGTCGTGTGTTGTAGACTTGGCTAACCTAGACCTGTATTGTCAACCTAGTTGTGTGTTGTAGACATGGCTAACCTAGACCTGTATTGTCAACCTAGTTGTGTGTTGTAGACTTGGCTAACCTAGACCTGTATTGTCAACCTAGTTGTGTGTTGTAGACTTGGCTAACCTAGACCTGTATTGTCAACCTAGTTGTGTGTTGTAGACATGGCTAACCTAGACCCTCTGCTGTTTCAGGGGCGGACGTTGGCAGGACAGACGGCCTACACGGGACCAAGTTCAGATACCCTTCTTATGTTCAGGACATCATGGGAGACATCTTTTCCTTGGGCTTTGGTCCGTTTAGGTCTGTGTGGGTTTTTTTTTTAAATTATTTTTAGGCTATGGTCCATGTGAGTCAGTGACTATTTTGATGCTTTTAGCCATTTTAGTAAATTCAGTTATGGTTTCGCGACACAAATAATAGGGCAAGATTTTTTATTTTTTAACATGTCTATCATGCTTGAGATTCACAGCATCTTTGACTCAGTGGCGGAACTAGAAATTAAAGGCTCCCCCGCAAAGAAAAAACTAGGGCCCCCTATATATATATATATATATATATATATATATATATATATATATATATATATATATATATATATATATATATATATATATATATATATATATATATATATATATATATATATATATATATATATATATATATATATATATATATATATATATATATATATATATGTTACGGTCAAAGCCCGAAGTCGGCCAATGCTAGGATTGGCCGGCCAATCCGCGCATTGGCCAATATCGCCTCCCATTGGTCGGTCAAAGTCCGAAACTTTGCTTGATTTCGGCCTTTGGCCGGCCAATCCGCAGACTGGCCATGGTGGACCGGCCAAAGTCTGAAATAGCTCTTGATTTCGGCCTTTGGCCGGTCAGTCCGCGGACTGGCCATGGTGGACCGGCCAAAGTCTTAATTAGAAGATCATCTGGCTAGGGACGACCGGCCAAAGTCCGAATTAGAAGATCATGAGCAGATTTTTTTTTTTTTATGCCGTAAGGATCATGAAATTAAGTTTTTATTGATTATTAATTAAAGTAAATGACAGAAACGTTCAATTTTTTTAGTTGTGCAATTGCAGCGAGTGTAGCCTTGGCTCCAAGTCAATGATTGTGAAGATGCGATGTTTCGTAGTGATTTTTCCTCAGTGCCAACTGACGACAATAAGAGCAGTTTTTCGTGAAGAATTGAAAACTCACTTCTAGCATACAGTTGTTTTAGAACACCATGTTCCGTTCCTAATTTGTAGAAACCGCCCTCGACGCCCATGACAACTGCAATCACGCTTCGCGGATCACCGTGACCCCTGTCAACATCTGGAAAACGGATGCGTACATTGTCACCCACTTCACCATCTTTAAATTTTGTATTTGATGTTTTAAGCATCTTAGCACCTTGAGTTTGCAAGCCAGTATGAGCTGCTGATCTGTGTTCCATGATGTCTTTTTTGTTGTGACACAATCTGCAGGTAATGTTCCCTCCGTATCCTTCGTCTGCTTCATTGGGTATTCCACAAATAGCATGGACATCGTTGCCACAGGATCCACAAGAATGAGCTGCACTACAATGTTTTTCACAAACTATATAGAATCTGTTGGCCACATTATTATCACACAACTGGTCTGGACGTTCCGCCAAGGCAGTAGATGTGTTAGCTGAGGATGTCGTTGCATTTATGGCAACCTCCATTTTTTGTTCAATGTTCTCAAGATCTTCCTCAGTAACTATTTTATCGAGAGCCCATATATGGAAACTAACATGGATTTACATTTTTTTTCTTTTGACAGCCATCTGCTATGTCTGTCTCATGGTCTGACGGCCCTTTTGATCCATGTCGATTGCATATAGTTATGATATAGAACGCTATACAAACGAGAGTATAACAATACGTTACTCTCAATAAAAACGCACCCAGAATAATGAAAATGCGATCACAACTTAGTCTTGATAGAACATTGGCCAGGACGTCCCGGCCAGTGCGCGCATTGGCCGGCCAATGTTTAAAATACGCTGTCAAGTTTAAGCGCTTCGGACTTTGGCCAGTACGTCCCGGCCAGTGCGCGCATTGGCCGGCCAATGTACGAAATACGATCTTAGTGCTAAGTTCTTCGGGCTTTGGCCAAGAGAGCCGGCCAATGCGCGGATTGGCCGGCCAATCCTGGGTTTGGCCGCACTTCGGGCTTTGACCGTAACATATATATATATATATATATATATATATATATATATATATATATATATATATATATATATATATATGTGTGTGTGTGTGTGTAATCTTTATTCTAATTCAGGGGTCGGCAACCTGCGGCTCGCGAGCCGCATGCGGCTCTTTTGATATCAAGATGCGGCTCTCCAGCTCCTTGAACAAATACTAATAATCTTTATAAAAATATAATATTTAAAATTAAAAAAATGTTAGTGGCTCTTTAAAACCAGGGAGATTTCGAAAATTGTAACTTTTGGCTCTTCCGCTTCAAAAGGTTGCCGACCCCTGTTCTAACTGAGTAATTTAGTCTACATCATTGCAATATATAACCATTCTGTGAGAACAAACCAGATAAAATTTAGTCCAAAATAATTTTGAGTTAAACATGTATAAGAGTTGTTGTTGTTGATTGGGGTTTAAAGTCCGCTTTCAAACTTACGTTTATATCGCAGACTGTTTTTTTTTTTTTTTTTTTTTTTTTTTTTTTTTTTTTTTTTTTATGGTTTTTGTGTATGTACAGTTTAGTTTCATTTGTTTTCCTTTCATTTTTGGATGTGGTTTTTTATTGTGCGGGATTTGTATTTTGTTATAGGGTGAACATTATTTTATCTTAACAGCTTGTTAGATTGATTCTTTGGTTTTTTGCACATATTTTTTTTACCAGGCTAATCAGAGTGGATGGGGCGTCCATAGCCAGTAATGTTTCTGTTGTTAATAATGTGTTTTTGTTTGTCTGGAAGTAGTTGATGAGTTCTTTTCTTGGGTTGTTGTATGCCTTACAGTGTATTAGGTAGTGGTCTATTGTGTTTATTTCATTGCAGGTGTGGCACCATTTCTTTGTGTGAATTAAGGAGGCTGAACCTAGACGCAGCCTTGTAATTTTTTTAGCGCAATTTCCATTCTGGAGAATTGCGTTTATTAACTCGTCATTTCTGGGAATGGATGGATGAATGAATGAATGTATGGATGAATGTGTGTCCGGGCTTTAAGTCGTATCTCCTCCTCAACGAAGCAATATCGATGACTAGTTCCAAAAGCAATTATGTTAAGCAAGTTACGAGAATAAGCATAGGCTATAAAAATTCCGGGTTTCTTTCATGTATTTCCCGGAAAAGCCAAAAAAACCTCGAAAAAATTCAGTTTTTGGCCCATATCTCGGCAACCAGACCACTTAGCGACTTGAAACATGTACCAATCGATTCCTGCCATAATTTCAAACAATATTGCCGAGGAAAGTTTTCAAAAATATCCTCTCGTTCGGTCACAATTTATAAAATTACATAAACACCTACAAACCGATCGTTCTTCTAGCTTGAACGCACCCCAGCATTATACGTCAGAGCTATTTTTAGATAACATAAGGAAATTGCGCATAAATGTCACTAGACTTTTTAATTAACTTGTTTTATTAATGGGTGGCCTTTGTGCTGGTCAAAAATATATAAAGACGTTAGCTTGATTCATGTATGGTTTCTCGCGTTATGTTTATTCTTTTCATTTTTGGCTTTTATAATATCAATTTTGAAAACATTGATTTTTATAGCTATACTATTGTATAGTTCGGCATATTTAAGTAACAATTCAGAGAATCAATTGCTTATTAATATACATAGTACAAAACTATTTAAATGAGCTTCGTGGGCATCCCTATTTTAAAGAAGGGCAGTAAGTCATGGAAGTAGTGTGGATGTTTGCCTACCTTTCAAACTATAGCTCTTGTAGATTTTAAAATATTTTTCTACGCAACAATCTCTGCTATAGTAGACCTGTTTTTTTTTTTTTTTTACAAAACCACTTTCAAGATGCATGAAAAACATAATTTTTGAACAAAAAATTCATTGTTTTTTGGTCGGAACTGGGCCCCTAAACGTCCAGGGCCCCCCCGCATTGCGGGGTCTGGCGGTATGGTAGTTCCGCCCCTGCTTTGACTTCAATATATGCAACTTTTTCCAATACAGACGTTATTCTGTACATAGCTAAAACACCCTGCATATTTTTACAAAATTTCAGGTGGGTTTGCACTTCGGCTGATCCCAGCGATTTAGAGAAAACAGACGCCATAGCAGCATCGGTCATTGAACGCCTAGCAGCCAGTAACAGTAGGTTTAATCTTAATCTCATCATTCCATTCTCTTTTCCCATTTGTGGTCAAGACATGGGGCAGATGAATAGGGTTTATCTGTTTTACTGACCACAACATATATGATCATAGTGTGGTCAGCACTATGCCCAGCCGCCTTGGTTTCCCTAACATGATCCAGGTACCAGCTAGAGTTGTATGGACTTAGAAGTCCAAAGTCTCCAACCCAGGATTCGAACTAGTCTTTTGGGTTAGCAGTTGTGATCTCTACCATCCTACCACACCATTAAATTCCACTGATAGGCTACATCAATGGAATGGGGTATCAGAGTAGTCAAAGTTTGAAGAACAGAACATGAATCTTTAATCAATCAGTAAAACAAATGTTACGGTTCAAAGGCAATTATAATAACTATGAATGAAAAATAATGGCTGCTTAGTGCCCGGAGGAAAGGATTTTAAACTTAATATTTGATTTTTAAAAATCAAACATTAAGTTAAAACTGAAGAAGATAGTATTTATACAAATAACTTTTTAAAATTTACGGAAATAAATTGCCTAAAGTTGTGATATGTGCAGAAACATTTTGTGCATAGTTTGGATTACTTATCACTAACTCAAGTTTTACTTTTGTATGATGACAAACCATAACAAGACAAAATTTTATCTACACATGAGTTATCTCCCATCTCCCCCAGACTCACTAGCAGTACAACAACAGTATGAAGACAACATCAAATGGATCAAAGAAGCTGGACAACACAAGATGGTCAGTTTCTTTTTCCTAAATATTCATTCAATAAAAAATGTGTATAAAGAAATACTTAGTATTTCTCAATGACAAGACATTCAGTTCCTGTTTACATTCAAAATCTGAAATCTCTGTTCACAAATGTATACAAAAGTAATCAATTTTTTTGTTCCACTCCATGACAACCACAGGTGGTGGGCTCACAGGCAAGGATCTTGTATTCTGACCAGGAGGGTCGCACTGCCATAGCCTTGGCCTTCAATAAGGCAGTCTCTGAAGGTCACCTCAAAGTAAGTCATTGACCAGAAGTGTGAGAATTGAACTTTGCCACAATAAGTTAGTAGTCATTTACCAACACCAAGCTTTGTCAAAGTGAGTTATTTACCAGAAGTGAACTGGGACAAAGTCAGTCAACTATGCAACACTTGACCCCTGTAGTATTACAACCAAATCGCTGCAAATGATTTCAGTCGAGGTTTATCCAGCCAATCATTTCTCATGTACCAGGGTCCAGTGGTCATCAGTCGAGACCATCATGATGTCAGCGGCACTGACAGCCCCTACAGAGAGACGTCCAACATTTATGATGGCTCGGCTGTTTGCGCAGGTAAGCAAGTCTCACAACACAATCATCACTTGATGAACACACAAAGATATGGCCAGTGAAAATGTCATGCATGCACAACCCCCTTCCCTAACAGACAAAATGTGCATGTATACAAATTTTCCTCCCCCTAGACATGGCCATTCAAAATGTCATTGGAGACAGCTTCAGGGGAGCTACTTGGGTGGCAATCCACAACGGGGGAGGTGTCGGCTGGTAAGTCTCTACACTCCTGGACTTGGTAACGAAGTCAATAACTTAAACAGAAATTTGTCATGTAAAAATTAAACATTTCTGTTTACAGAAAATAAATGATAAGTGAGTAAAAACGGCAACAATATTTCTATACATTAATATATTTACATTTTATTTACATGAAACAAATTAATACAAAAATGTTTACAACAACTGCTCGTTCAAATGCAAAATAATATCCTAGTAAAATTCTAATCAATGTTTGTATAAACGTACAAATTGTCACATTTATTGAAGCTTTTAAAAATCAACTTAATGCTTAAATTTTCTTTTAGGGGGGAGGTAATCAATGGAGGATTTGGCCTAGTACTTGACGGCTCAGAGGTACGCTAACACATTACTGTGGATTAAAACGAGAGGCTCACAAATAATCTATTTACAAATGTATTCTTATAAGCTTTACATTAATAAATTGATAAAAACTGTGAAAAAAAAGAAAATTTGATAAATAATTTAATAATGGAAATTTTTAATTACAGGCTGCTGCAAGACAGGCCCAGTGTATGCTTGCATGGGATGTCAGCAATGGGGTACGTAAAACGTACGTCTGACGAATATTTTTCTCCTGTCACTACTCGTCACATTGCTAAGTCAGAAATATTTTTTTTAAAGGTGTCGCGTCGATGTTGGGCGGGCAATCAACATGCTAGAAGCACCATCCAACAAACCATGAGGGACAACCCTAATCTGAGGGTGACGATTCCTTACGAAATAGAAGATACAGATTTGCTCGACAAGGCTTTGAATCCAAGCTTTTGAACGTTGAAATTAATTTTTTCGCATGCAAGATAGAGAATTAAATGAGGCCTGATTTTGAAGTTTTAACTGGCACTACACAAGAACCTGCATTACAGGGCTTGGAATCAAAGCTTCTGAACACTGAAATTAGTTTTTTTTTGTGCTACACATGCTGCCATTTCAATAAATCCTGTACCACTGTTTTAGTTAGTCTATAATTCATTGTCACCTTTAAAGAATTCCCATTAGAACTCTTTTTTTTTTTTGCAACAGAAGTCTTGAAGTCTCCTGTCCAACTTACTACCATCGCCCACAGATAAAAAGCAAGGTTACCTTGGAGGCTGGCTCATAGCCGCTGCCTTCCTAAAATTGTTGAAATGGTCCAAGTATTGTGCCATTGTGAAAGAAGGGACGTAAGTCTCGTCCATTTTTACTTTGAGAGATTGAGGTGGCGAGTCAGCAATGTTCCCTATCAAACTTTGTAGAAGTTCTTTCAACATGTTCCAGCACTCTGAGGTTACCACACTAGGACAGTACTCAACCTGGAAACACAATCAGAAATAAGAAAACTTTTAAATATTCTAACAGACTTTACAAAGAAAAAAAAATTTAGGTTTCAGCTAATAGCAATACTAATGGACTGGCATGGTCAGATGGTAGAGAAAGAGCTAACTCAAAAGTCTCAAATTTGGATCCTGGGTTAAAACTTGTAGGATGTGTTTGAGTCCACCCAGCTCTTATGGGTACCTGACTCACTTTAAGGGGGGAACGGTAGTGAAAACACATTTTCTCACAAATTATAAGATACATGCTTGTTTGAAATTGTATTAACTTTAAAATACTTTAAACATTATAACACTGTATTTATTTTGGCCAATTTATACATTTATTGCGAAATTTGGGGTCAAATTGAACAATTTTTTATGTACTCAGTAGAAACAAAATAACTAATAAAATAGATAAAAACAATGCAATGTAACTTTGCACATTCCTAGTAGACATGACAAAGGACGGTTTGTTAAAGGGAAATTTTGATATCTTACAAAATGAATTTTTTGTGAAATTTTTAAAATGAATTTTTAAAAATTCGAATGATCTTCTTTGAAAACAATACTAAAACTTGCACAACTTTTTTAACAATTGAAGTATGGCCAAACCCCTTTGCATGTTTATAGATACATATGTTTGTTACATACTGTGGCCATTTCATGTATTTCTAATAGGCACATTTTGAGTTAAATTGTTTCCCCCGAGTTCTATAGAGTAAAATTTACAAAACTGAGAAAACTCAAAATGAAGCTTTATTGTGTAAATATTTTATCATATAAATGTATTTATTAGCAAAATAATGAATAGCCTTGATAAATAACCACTTTTCCGATAATATTATTGGGGGAAACAGTAGCTTACATCACTTACAAAAAAAAATAAAAAAAATAAAGTTCGATGTCAACCTTCACTAGATATCAAAATCACCAAAAAATAAGATATACAAAAATGATTTTAGTTGAAAAATTTGAAATTTTTCAAGAAAGTTGACTACCGGTCCCCCCTTAAGAAAATTAAAGGTGGTTGGGTACAGACAGTGATGACCACATTATATGTTCACAGAAGCAAACCCTACTTCATGTGCCTGATCGACTGCCAGGTTCAAGGGTGACTTTTTTAAAAATAATGGTACACAATCACCACAAAAACTAACAACTGTACAGACAATATAAAAAACATACCACCAACATCATAAATAGTCTGTAACTTGAGGTGTAAAATCATGCAAAAAATAATTCACCTCAACTAAAATGCCTTTAAAGCTTCCAGCCAGAGAAACAGATCCAATCTTCACAACAAAGTCAGCCAGCTGGTATCTGTTTCCTTTAGACTCCACTTTAGCCCCTTTACGTGCCTGGTAATAGTTCTTTAGGTTGGACATGAGGCCATTAAACAGGGTGTCAGCAACCAGGGTGGCCCCAGAGTCTAGGATGGCGAAGCAAGAAGCTGGGTACTCACTGTTGTGTAGGAGGTGAAGTGTCTTGGGAGCTGCAACAAAGAAAATAAGTTCCATTTTACACAAGTTTATTGATTTAAAAAATTGGAGCTTCCATATTAAAGAAAAAATATTTTGGTAATACAAAATAAAAATGTATTACCAGAACAAACATTTTACCTTTGATTAAAGGCTAATTCTGACAATAATGTTTAATAAACACTAGATTCATATTGTAAAGGCACCATTTAAAATGGAAAGGTTTTATAATGGAAATTGGGCACTGCAAGTAAGTACATGGCAAACTATAAAGACTTTTCTGCAAGACAGAGTCCTTCTAGATCTAATGAGCATGCTGTTAAGTTGGGGAAAGTAAAGATGACTTTGCCTAGTGCTAACCTTTCATTTGCTAAGTTAAAACAAATTAATCATAAGTTCTAAAAAGTATATTTTTTTTACAATTTTTGCCTTTGACTAAGGATCTATATATAAAATCAGAGGATTAAAAAAAATGCACAAAAAACATTTTAGAGTAGTAACAAGCATTTTACGCAATAATGCACTAAAAAGGAGAAATAAATGATTTTTTAAAAATATATTATACTATACTATTACTATTAGTCACTATTCAAATAACTATAAAGAAAAGAATGGGTCACTATATTATCTATTGGATACTTTTACTAATATTTACATAAAAGCTTGTAACATTTTTTATGCAATTTTTTTTCAGTACTTAAAATTTTTTAATACAATAGAGTTGCATGACTAAAAGCTATTGCACACCAAATGAACTTGATACAAGCATATTATTGTGCAGAATAGTAGGATAAGACTACCAACAACTAATTTCAGAAATTTTTTATTAATTCATAAAAAAATTAGTCTTCCAATTAAGCCATATTTAATGTCATATTGCATTGTCATCGGGTCTTGACCCACATGCAGAATATCAGAGACATGCTTGAAATTTCACTTTCCAGTTTTGATCTAGGATTAAGATAGACAGACTGACGAAAGACAGAGAAAGCAAGTTAAATAAAAGCTTGTAAAAAACACCACCACATTTAAACCACCTGCATCAAAATTTAACTGCAGCAATTTATTAAAGCCATAAAACTTAGCTTACGGTTGAGCATGACAGACTGGTATGCCTCACAGTCCACGTGGAAGTTGCCCATCTTGATCCCGCCCAGGGTTTCCACCTGTTTCTGTAGCACATCCACAACCTGGGCCCCACTTCTACCTTCAGGGACAGGATAACTGTATACACTGCAAGGTGAGGTAACTGTATTAATTGGAGTCAGGCGAGTATAAAATAAGGGGAGAAAACTAACTTCTAAAGGGGTGTTACCAAGTTGTGACTAGTGACATCAAAAGGTACAGTAGCTACAATGAGTGGTGGCTATTCTAGGAAATATCCTTTGACTACATTGTTATAACAATACTGAAAGTAGTGTTAGGTTTCAGTAATCAATTACTAGGGTTAGACAATAGTCAGTCATTATGGAAGTATTTGGATTGGCATATGAATTGATTGGCATATTCATAAACTTAGGCCTATTAATATTATTATTTTGTAGTTTTATAGGCCCGAGTACTAAGTATAAGTCCTATAGCCAAAAGGAGGTCTTGAGTTTTGATCTTGGTTTGAGCTTGTGACTGTACGATGTCCCTGAGTCCACCCAGCTCTAATGGGTGCCTGACTCACGTTAGGGAAAGTAAAGGTGGCTGGGCATAGTGCTGACCACAACATCCCTCATTTGCCGAGGTTAAGAAACATGTGAACTCTACCTCATCTGCCCTAATATTAATTTAATTAAGCTATAGTTTACTCCTTGTTTACTAAGTAACCCAACAACCCTGTGTTTAGTAGGTTTCTACTAGATCTACTCTTGTCTCTAATAAAACCTACTAGAACTAAGAAGATTCATTTCTAGACCTATCAGTAACCGGATGGTACTAATAAGTTACTAAGTAAGAGTAGATTCAATATAACAATGAATGAATTAAAGGATAGCTAGCAAGCTGTGTTCTAGCAATGTGTGAATTAGTTGATTGGTAAAATTAGGATACTAGCCTATCTAATCTTATTAAGTTTAACTTTAAAACAGAAGTCAGAAACCGCTACATCCAGAATACACTAATCACTTACGGACTTAAGAATAGTTAAGTCAACAATACTACAAAATGAAATAGGCGATTATAGGCCTATAGCTTTAAAATTGAGATCTAGGCCCTAGACTAAGAACAAGACTCTATTTAGACTACTAGACGTGGTCTAGCTATAGTAGTTATAGCTAGTACTACCCTGCTTACTCTACTAGACAGGCTAATGAATAAAAAGTTCAGTAAAGAAAAGACAAAGCCAGTAAGGCTGCAAGGGCCTATTGAAAATTATAGGTTCTAGAACTAGATCTAGCTAGTTAGTAGTTTTATTTAGTCTAGATTGTAGGCCTAGATCTAGCTAGACTTTTTACTTATATCTAGTCTAGACTAGATTAGCCTAATTGAGAATTATCCTAAGGCTGATTCTTACAGGAAGAAGATGCACAAGCTGAACAATGATCTGTTTATATATATTAATCCGATTTCTTAATGATCGTTGTTTAGGCCTATGTGGTGTCTTGCTGAGACAGGGATTAACTCGATAAATACTTAAATAGGCTAGTTGATTTAAATAAGCTATTAAAATAGATTTAAAAAAAAATATTTTAAACTTATCTTAGGCCTACAGACTAGGAACTCTTTACTAGATATGCTTTAGGCCTAACTGTCTTTAATTAGTACAATACAATGAACCTTATCCCATTACGACCCACCCAAAGCACAAACACTCACAGACAGCTAGTTTTGTCAGGAAAATTGATCCCATTACACAGCTATATAGTATTTATTTGAGCCTATTGCGCATCTATTTTATAAGGCCCTAATTAATTATTATAATTAGGCCTAAGGTATGGACAACAATACATATTTTGCATCTTCTACCGGCCAGACTTGGTAGGCCTAATCACTCAATGAATACTAAATACTATAGGCTACTAACTAATGAATCTAAAGTCTAATTAAATTATAGTGACTATGTAGTCTAATGACTAATGAATCAATGATCCTTTATTTTTAAGTAAGAGGCCAAAGAAATGAGTCTTAGGAGGAAGAATCCAAACCAAAAGTAGTACTGTCTAGGCCCTATCGAATAAACTAGATCTAGATTATTCTAGATCTATCAACTATCGTAGATCTAGATTATTAGATCTATACTCTAGATCTAGTCTAGAATCTAGTAGTGTCGATTGTTTTGTTTTTGTTGAATGAATCTCCTGACTCCTGCCTGAGCATTAGAATCATCATAAGATCTAGATTCTAGATCTAGTAATCTAGATCTAGATCTAGATTCTAGATCTAGAGAGATGCCTTGAGGGTTACATTAGTAAATATTAATTTTATTGAAAGTACCCACCAAGATACACCCATTTAAAAAAAAATCAGCTTAGATCCAAAAAATCGTAAGTCTAAATTTATTTGAAAGTTTCCTTGTGTTCTTCATTAGGCCTGGAACTGAATCTAGCAAGCCTAATATTTGCATTCCGCTAACCGGAAATAGATCTCTATTTTAAGGTTTCGCAAAATAAATATTAGATCTATTAATTATACGAGCCGACCCGCGGCGTATCATATGCCGCTATTTATTTGTTTTATTTTCTACTTTTCAGTAATTCATAATTTGTGAATTCGACAGTGACAATGCTGCCACTGAAAATATTTGCTTTAAAACAATATTAGTAGGTCGGTAAGGACGAGAGGGTTTGCAAGGCGCGCTTACAGCTTGTTTTCTAACATCTCCAAGAAGAGAATTATATAGTACGAGCCGACCCGCAGCGTATCATACGCCGCTATTTAGTCGTTTTATTTTCTACTTTTCAGTAATTCATAATTTGTGAATTCGACAGTACCAATGCTGCCACTGAACATATTTGCTTTAAAACACTAACCCCCCCCCCCCTTTCCCCGACCCTACACCCCCCCCCCCCCCCCCCCCGTGAAAGCAGCCTCCTCTTAGTTATTTCTTAGTCACCTCCTGTAAGTTTAAAATCGAACTAAATTATCTGCCCCTAATAGAAACCCGGCTCTACGATTTGTAAACATTTAGCTTTGTAAATATTTAGCGTGACCACAACTCACCAGACAATGTGGGGGTGGGGTGGGGGTGGTAGTGATAGTGATAGAGAGAAAGAGAGGGGACTGCAAGGAGGCGCTTGCAGCTTGTTTTCTAACGGCTCCCAGAGGAGAATTATATATATAGAAGATTATATTATATACATAGATTAGTGGATTATAACTTTTACAAAATCTAGAACATGTAATATTAATATCAACAGGTCCAAAATCCGCCTAACTTATGTAGAATTGTATTCATAATCTTACATTAGTTTGATAGTTGACAGTTTTAAAATGTCAACTTTTTTTCTCACTCTTTTTAGAATATAGTGTTGTCCTTGAAAGAGTTATCTCTCTTAACTGCTGCATCAGCACTGGTTCATTTAGTTAATAACACACATCAAAAACATAAACATACAGTCAGATTGTACAGAAACCATCACATACATCTAGTGACAGGTCTGCAAATGTTTATTCTCATTATCAATACAAAGCTCAATGCTGGTAATACAGAGGCTGAATACAGGCCTACAGTTGAAAATATAAATACATTAATGCATATATAACAAGCCTTTTTCCTTAAAATGTGAAATTATGTAGGTTATAGAACTATTTTACAACAATTTTCTACACCATAGGCCTATACACCTGGACATAAAACATGAATTTATAAAAGCAAGTCCCTGTAAATTTATATTGCAGTTTTAAAACAACAAAAAATTTTATAATCTATGCGGTCATAATATATAAAATATTACAACTGTAACAAAGTGCCCTGAACTTGAATGTGATGTTAACACTCAATCACTAAGCAGTGTTAATGAAAAAAATTCTTATTTTTAGATTGTTAAGAAAAGGTCTTTTAGTGTGTAAACATCTTGAAAAAGCTGCAAAACATGAGATATCAGAAACAAGAATTACTCTTAAAAAATCCTGTGTGTAACAAAAGACTCAGGATTAATGTTAAAAAGATCTTTTAAGTTGATTGAAAATTTTCTATAAGAAAAAAACACTGTTTGCAACTGAAGATCCAGTGTACATTTCTTATAAATTACAATTTGACCTCAGTTTATCAAATGTTAATTTTGCATCCAGAAGACTAAGCGGTTTTTTTTTTATTTTAAAATATTCTAAGAAGTTATTTTCTCAATTGACTAAATTATATCTACTTCCCCAGATTGGAGAGGACCCGAGTAGATTCTTTTCAATCAACATTGCAGATAACAAGTGTTTAATTTAACAACCCTAAACCTATTCGAAGCTAAAAGCTCTTTGATTTAAATTTAACAGGAAAGTACATAATACTGTTAGGATCATTTAACTGACAAGATAGGTACTGAAAGAGAATTATTGTACTGCCATCTGCAGTAACTAGCTCAAAAACAAAAGAAGGGTCACATCCCATTTTTTTTTAAAAACACTTAAATAAGCTACAGCAAGTCTAGATTTATTTTCCAGTTTAAAAAATTAAAATACTTAGCCAAATTTACATAGTTAAATTTAACAACTGATACAAGGTATTAGATTTGTAGAGCAAAAACACAGAATACAGAGACTAAATGTTTGCCAGAACATTTTTACCTTGCACTTGTTGAGATCAAATTTATTTTAAAATTAATAAATCATAAAAACGGAATTAAATGTTGAAAGCTGAAGTGATGACATCAAGTTTTATTACCGGTATTTATCAACAAGTTCCAAGCAGGCAAACTTTCAAGTAACATTTTTTGAAACATTGGAAAGCTCATTTAGATAACTGATAAGTTAAATTCAAATTTATATACATTTTTGCCTAATAATTTAGAAATTCTAAGGTATCATTTCTATCTCTTTATAAAAAGAAATCCAACACACCCATCAATTTTTAAAACAACTTTTCTTATTTACAAATAAATGTACTTGGGTCAAATTTGAATGCGAAATTCATATACATTTGTAAATTATCTTCTAACATGCCATTACAATGCCGATTCTGAAACACAGCCTTAAGAAAAAATTATTTCTAATACAACACCAATACTACTTTCAAAGGCACATATCAATAGAAGTCTGAGTCTGAGCTAGAATCATCAAAATCTGACAAGTCAAAATTGTATCTATACCTGAAGAGGCTATTGTTATTATCATCATCATCACTGTCTTGATATAATCCTAATAACACTAACGACAGTTCATCTTCTAACGACATTAAAGTGTCTTCCTCTCTCCTGGAAATAAAATCCCACAAGCTGAATTCATCCTCTGCCGCACTCTGACCATCTGCGTTTGTTCGGCGCCGCCGCTGTACCACATTGCTTTCTACCCTGGTCCCGTCTGGTAGTGCATGCCGGTAAAAACATTTGGAGTTGAATGGACACTCTCCTCGACCTTGTTTGAAATAACTACATGGCTTTGCACTGTGGATAAGAAGGTACAGTGCATTATTACAATATTTTTAAAAATTACGCAAGGACTAAAATTAGGATGATATACAACAATCACAAAATAAAATATATTAATGATTGAAGAAATGTTAAACAAATATATGGTATGAGAAATGTCAGGACTATCTACAGTGATGTAAGCTGCTAAGATACCTTCAGTTTTTACATTATTTTCAACTGTGTAAAATATCACTTGGAATTTACAAAAACATACTTATAATTTTAGAAAAACTCAACATCATTTATAATTTTTACAATCTCAAGACACAAAAACCCTCCTGACTTTAGAAACCTGAATAATTAGGAGTAAATTCTATTGCCAAAGTGGTGATACAGTTAAATTCTGCTCATTGACTTTGCCGCTCAATAAACATTCATTATCCAGTTTAGCTTTGAAGCCAAAACTCCATCACTTGTGACAGTGAAGGTCAAGGCCATACTCTTCCAACAAACTCTATCTGCTGACATCCATGTCATACCAGCATTCAGATATCTTTATCAACTAATCTTTTCCACGCCCATTTAGGCCCTTTCAGTTTCTCTTTGCTTTTGAGATCCACTTGTCTAGCAATGTTGTAGTTTTCTATCAGTATGTTCTAGTGCCCAAACTTCTGATCTGTTTACTCTGTTGACTCTTTACACCTTAAATTCTGCAGCCTCCACTGCACCCAGCTACATTTTAATGTGTGAAATTATAGTTTAAGCATTGAGATGGGAGGCTACCCCCACATAGATTAAACTATTTCTTACCTGAGAGCCTCTTTATATTCATTTATAAGTTGCTGTTTCTTCTCTGGGCATTCAACCCAATATTTACTGGGGGTGACAAAGTCTGAGTGGGTTCGGCAGGTGGGACAGGCTCTGAGAAAGATTTGTGGTGAAAGAAATTGTTTAAAAACTAACAATCATATGCTCTATGTAATAAAACATGAAAGATTAAAAAAAAACAATTAAAAAAAAACAAGGGGATGGATGAGATATAATCCTTTCAAACAATAAAATAATATAACAAAATTGGCCGAGCTTGGTATAATGGAAGTAAAACCAAAAATAAGATTTTAAAAAAATGTGCCTTAATTAAGAAACTAACAGCTAACTTTTGTTCAATTCAGTTGACAAATCTTGTGGACGATAATATGAAATACTACACATACCTGTATTGCATATTTTATATTATAAAACATCTAAAAGACTTATATCCTTTGTTGTTTATCAGTTTTTGATACATTTTTAAAAAAAATGCATAATGAACTTGCACTTTAACTAATTTTAAAAAGTTTAGGGTTAGAAGTGGGGGTGCTGGATGAAAAATAACCATTAGGACAACCCAGCCTTTACACTTCTGATGAGTGGCTGTAAAGAATAAACTCACCTATGTGTCTGTATGGTCATGCTCTTACTGTTGCGCCACTGCCTGATACAGCTCAGACAAAAACAATGGTTGCAGTTCTCCAGGATGCCAAACCTTTTGTCTGAGCTACTACAGTTGATGTCCTTGTCTATAACAATTTCCAGGCAAATCCCGCACTCCTTGTCCTGGCTGGCCTGTATTGCAAAGGATAGCTCCATGTCTTTTTCATGATCCGCAATACACTCCTAAGATATAATTTTTTTTTAAATTAAAGACACTGAAGATAAGGAATTTACAAGTATATCTTAACAAGATATAATTACAGAAAGTGACTAGTTAAAATTAACTTTGATTAAGTGTTAATTAAGGGTTTAAAGACTATCATATTATACTGGCTAACTAGAAATTCAAGTCATATTCAATGATGGGGAGGGCCTTGGTGATGAAAGCTTCACAAAGGTAAAAATAATAGTAATATATTATTAGGGATGATAACACAAAAGGATCAAAGATAATGTTGCTTTTAGTTAGGTAATTATGTCTCGCAATGGATATCTGGCCCTTAAACTTTCTCTCAGAAATATGAAAAAAGTTTTACATTGTATGAACAGGTTGTGATTTTGTCATATACATAAAACTATTCAAAAGATTTATAACAAAAATTCTGGGACAAAAATATACCCATCCCGTAGATAATTAAAAACAAGTTAAGTAAAAAGTCTAGTGACATTTAAGCGCAATTTCCTTATGTTATCTAAAAATAGCTCTGTCGTAGCGTAAATCAAGAGCAGGGTTAGTAAAACCATTGGTTAAAATACTTGTTTTATTTACAGTAGAGTTACATGACTAAAAACCATTGCGCGCCTAGCTACTGAAAGTGATGACGCAGCTATTGAACGTGATGATGCGTGTGGTGTGGTTGGATAAAAATGCCTATTAATTCGGTCTATATTTTAATTAATTCAAAAAAAATTTTTGTGACCGAACAAAAGGAAATTTTTGAAAACTTTCTTCGGCAATATTGTTCTAAATTATGGCAGGAATCGATTGGTACATGTTTCAAGTCGCTAAGTGGTCTGGTTGCCGAGATATGGGCCAAAAACTGCATTTTTTTTTAGGTTTTTTGGCTTTTCCGGGAAATCCATGAAAGAATTTATGGCCTATGTTCATCCTCGTAACTTGCTTAACATAATTGCTTTTGGAACTAGTCATCGATATTGCTTTGTTGAGGAGGAGATACGACTTAAAGCTGCGGACACATATTCATACATCCATTCATCCATCCAGAAATGACGGGTTAATAAACGCAATTCTCCAGAATGGAAATTGTGCTAAAAAACAGTAATGAAATTTTTTTTAAGACAAGTACCCTTTGATGTGCTTCTCTCTGTAATGCATCATACGGGTGTAGTCTGGGCATGCCACACATATCACACAAATCCCCATGTATGTATGCACACTTTTCCTCAAAGTGACAGGCTCCCTGAGCGTAATAGGGGCAAATCAAAGCTTCTTCTCTAGCAACAGTTGTAGACTCAGATGGAATGTCAGATGAGTAAGTCAAAGGATGAACTGCATCTGAATAACTCACTGAAATTTACCAAGTATTACTGCATTAATTATCAGTATAAGACCTCTGAAGTCTAGAAGTTGAGTTCATTGCTTTACTTTTAGTGGGTACTTGAGGAAAATTAAAGGTGGCCATTGTGTTGACTACACAATCACTTTCTGAAACTAGTATTAAATTATTTAAATGCCTACAAAGGAATCAACATAGAATTCACAGTCTGAGTTTTGCATGTTTCTCCAGGTCTTTTACTGCATGAAAATAACCCAGCTATGAGGAAATAATCCAGCTCTGAGAACCATAAAATTACTAGGCGTAGAAGGTCACTATGTTATCCACACAGTATGCTACAGAAAAGGGAACTTGACCCGTTCTTTGAAATGAATAAAAAACATATTAGCCTCCTCCCAAGTATTTTTACTACAATTGCAAAATTAAAATTACCTATCAAATACAGAAATGCTTTTTTATTGATGTTGAAATATAATAAACAAATCCATAGTCTTTCTAACTGTACTAACAAAAAAGGCAATCTACTTAACATAAATGACAAGCATAAACTAATTAACAAATGTAATCTTCTCAACAGACCTGCGCCGTGGTATTTCTGCCCAGGTACAAAATCTCTAGCCTTGACCCACTGACTTTGATCAACTTTACTTTTTGAGGTCGACTGTGCGCTATTTTTGTAGCCCCCTTTCTTGAGTGTAACCATATTTGAAACTCTGTTGCCAGATTCTATGCCCTTGGATGTTGTGCCATTGGCTACTGCCTGATGTTGACTGGCAGAAGAATTTGTGTTGTGTTTATTCACCTTCACATGATCATACCTGTAAGACAAGACAAGTCATAGTTACTTTACTAGTCATTCTTCAAATCATTAATTAATATATTAGCCTTCCACAATACCTGCAATTGTTTCCATAGGAACATCGTCCAAACTGGTAGTACCTGCATACATTTTCTACAGGCACAGCTCCAGATCTATCATGAACATATGAACACTGTTCTCCTTTATTGCAGGCACCATGTAAGAAATACCTGTGAGAAAAAAAAAAGCCCAGGGTAAATTTAATAAATTAATTGAGACTTTACTCGGTCAGGTACTGCAGAGGCAGTCTTGACTAAGACTAAAAGTCTAAGACTACTTAGGTCTTAGATCTTGAATAGTACTTAAATGTGACATGTTGTAATATATCTAGATCTAGATTGATTCATCATTTTCTGATTTATCATATGATTCATTTGATTTTGATCATTGAAATCGGTCAGTGTGAGTGGTGGTTCCCTCCTATAGGCCTAATGTATTGAGTAGACTGTTTAATAATTCTGTCTGGAATAAATAACAACTGACTAACCTACACACTTGATGAAATTTGGGTTGATTTTTGCTAATGGATCTACATTTTGGGTCATATCCACCTTCTGCCATGGTTTCGTTGTAATGAAGCAATGTAGACTAGAATCTGGACTTGATGTTTTACTGCTAAAACTAGCCTACTGCTAGGCCTACTAGTTCTACTTGTATTGCCAGATAAAATCATATTTAAACTAGGCCTAAATTAATCCTTTTCTATGTGCCAAATAAAAACAATTTTTTTTCTAAGCGAGATAAGACCGACGAAATTGTTAAATGTTAAAGCAAAAGCGCAACGACAAGAAAGGAGCAGGACCATCTGCAAATATTCTCCCATCAACTCTTGCTATATCTCGCTAAATTACCGCGGTTTCAGACCCCTAAGACGGAGTGGGGAAATAAATTTAAAAAAAAAGACCTCCGCAACAAACATTTTTTTTGGCGTACCGGCACCTTTTTAAGTGAGGAGAACAATGTATTACTTTTCTTGTATTTTAACGTTTACTATTAATTAATTATATTATTAATTTGTTAATTGTTAATTTAGTATCTTTGCAGTTGTAATTTAGCTTGCTTCGAGTTACAAGCTGGTAGTTAAAAGTTAGGCAATCTATCACTGAGTACTGGCACCTATTTTCTGCGAAAATAGCACTATACTATATATATATATATATATATATATATATATATATATATATATATATATATATATATATATATATATATATGGACTCAGGGACGTCTAGCAGTCCCATCACGAGCTTCCATTGAGCATTTGGAAATCAAGAAAGATAACAAATCAACTACGCTTAGTGTCCTCATCTTTGTTTCGGAATGTTGGAAAACTTCGAATGCTGGTATACGAGGAACTACAGAAGCTTTTCGATGAAAGTGCTTTTGACAAATACCGAGAATCTACTGGCCAAATGCCATCTCAAATTTGAGGACAGGCCATACGTCTTCTTTGTTTGGACAGAGGGGAGGGGGGGGGGGTTCATCTATAAATGACGTCAAGCTTTTTTGATGATTTTCACCCACCCCCCTCCTCTGTCACACCTCGTCACAAAAAGCCAGACCCCCCCCCTAAAATGACGTCACGCCTAAAACCAACCCCCCCCCCCCCTCAGAATTGCAGTTGATTTTTCTTTAAAATACGATATTTTTTCTAAACTCTTGTCTGAACTCCGGCAACATAGAGTATTTTAATCCATTCCTATTAAAATTTATTAAAACAGTTTCTAAAACACAAAATAACGGCTAAAATTCGTTTTCTAACATTGCTTTTTTATAATGCAAAAGTGTGACGTCACACCATCCAATCCCCCCCCCCTTCCCCTCAACACAACCGTCATAAAATTACGGATTCCCCATCCGTTGCGAGCCTGACGTCATTTCTGGACTCCTCGGGTCTTTATTTGTGCGGACAGGCGAGACGTCATCTTTGTTTGAGTAGGCCAGACGTCATCTTTGTGTGTGAAGGCTAGACGTCATCTTTGTGTGGGTAAGCCAGACGTCATTTTTGTGTGGGAAGGCTAGACGTCATCTTTGTGTGGGAAGGCCAGACGTCATCTTTGTGTGGGTAAGCCAGACGTCATCTTTGTGTGGGTAAGCCAGACGTCATCTTTGTGTGGGTAAGCCAGACGTCATCTTTGTGTGGGTAAGCCAGACGTCATCTTTGTGTGGGTAAGCCAGACGTCATCTTTGTGTAGGAAGGCCAGACGTCATCTTTGTGTGGGAAGGCTGGACGTCATCTTTGTGTGGGGCCAGACGTCATATTTGTGTGGGAAGGCCAGACGTCATCTTTGTGTGGGAAGGCCAGACGTCATCTTTATGTGGGAAGGACAGACGTCATATTTGTGTGGCCAGACCAGACGTCATCTTGTGTGGGTAGGCCAGACGTCATATTTGTGTGGGTAGGCCAGACGTCATATTTGTGTGGGAAGGCCAGACGTCATATTTGTGTGGCCAGACCAGACGTCATCTTGTGTGGGTAGGCCAGACGTCATATTTGTGTGGGAAGGCCAGTCAACTCTATTCTGTTGACACAAAGCTATCAGTGTTTCTTCCAGACTTTTTTCTCCGGGGGGGGGGGGGGCACTTGAAATTTTCGGGGGGGGGGGGCGGTAGACTTTCTTCGGGGGGGGGAGGCGGACACTGTTAAAAGTATATATTTTCTATATAAATTATATAAATTTCATTTCGTTCGGGGGGCGGTAAAAAGAGATGCCTGGAAGAAACTCTGAAAGCTATTAACACGGAGGGCTGAATAGACATTCTACGACTGTGGAGGGGATGGGATTGCCCGAAGGACTCTTGATTGTGAACACATGGCGGTTTTCTATAAACAGTGACCAAAACTTTACAATAGAATGTGTGGTCTGCGCTGGTCATGTGACGTTGAAGTTGGCTGATTCAATGAAGCGTTATACACCTGAGGTATGGTTGGACTGCGACAGGGCTATCGCTTACGCGGTTTAATATGGGAGACAACCCGATGTTGTAGGCTCCATTATTATAAGGGTAAACAATCACACAGTAATGCTTACGTGATTTTATAAGGGAAACAGTTGTTATGGTAAACATGAAAGTAATTCAGGGGAGACAATAGCCAGTTGTAATGGCTTGTACCAGAGGGTTTTGAAAACTTGTATAGTTATTTGGGTTTGAAAGTATAGGACATCACTACCGGATGGATTGTTCAGGTAGAGACACCAGGAATGAGTGACAGTTTTTGTGTGTGCAAAAAACAATGACAATTTCTCAACAATCTTTAAGTTGGTTACCCAAACAACACTTAGAAACCCTATAGAATAACTTTCTTGAAGCCATATAACCACGATTTTGAAGCTAAACAAAGCTTCATACAAGCTGTGTGTATACAAATATAATGATAGGATGAAAATACATAAATTGTGATTAATAATAATAATAATAATTATAAAGTTTCCTGTTTTTTATTCATCATCTAATAACACATTACATTAAATCAGATTCTTATTAACACATATAAGACCAGTTAGGTAAACCCAACCATGGTATGCCACATATCAACAAAATTGAATTCTGGAGTTCAAAGGTTTTGCTGTCACATAAAATTAAACAACATGTAAAGGATTAACAGTTATTTTTAAGAAAAAACCCACCAACCTAATAAATACAGAAAAAAACACCTTCAATAAAACTTAAAAAAATAAAGCCCACTTAATATATAAAAATAAGATTAAAATGAAAAGACCCAACATGAAAAAAAATTACCATTTAATTATTAACCTCCCTTTTTTTCTTTTTAATCCCTTAGAAGTTAATGAGAAGGATTCAATGATGGTCCATGTTACGAAAATAATATAAAATGTATACTATATATGACTATATGCACTGCTTTCTTTGACCATCAACAGTGACATACTGAGCACTTTTGATAAAGGCTGTATATAGTTATAGTTAAGTCATTTATGCCTTAGTCTTCTGAAGAAGTCTGTCTTAATTTATCTATCACTAGGCATACTGCCTAGCTTCGCTTAGGTTTTTAAATAACATTTGAGAATTTGAATACTTAATTATTTAGCGATGGATTTGATGTTGAGTGCTTTAATTTGAACAGTAATGCTAACTTTAGAAAAAAAATGTTTTAGTTTGTCATTTAAATACCGTTCGCAGAGAAATATCGGAAAGTACGCAATGTATAAGTAAAATGGAATTAGAACTACACAGCTTCCATGAACAGTACATCTCATAGTTTTAATTACATTGCCTTTTGAAATTTATTTATTTATTTAATTGGGATACGTAACTAAATTAACAACTTAATTTTGTACAAAAACAAATGCTATACTTCGTCATTTTCTGTTTCTGTTTAAAATAGTATACAATTATTTGAAAAATAATAATTTAAAAAACGTTACCTCCCTTGAAAACTGAACGTATGACGTATGTCTTTGTTTTTTTTTTACAAACAGTTGCTATGCTTATATAAGAAATTACGGTATATGAACATATTTAACAACTATAATGGCTGTTTCCGACGGGAATAAAGTTTTTTTGTTAGCCTCCAGGGTCGGTCTACGACGTCACATAATATTAAGGGGATCGTTCGTCAATTTATTTATATATATATATCTCATATAAGGAGAATTTCACTCAAGATCATCTTTTAGCCCTCGTCGAGGGCCTTGAGTCTGACCAACAGTTTTTCCATACGGCCTAGTCATCTATAGTAGTGTATGCAAAAAATTAGCCAGATATACTAAGCTTAAGTACCCTAAAGTCTGCGTTGAAATGACCCTCTGTTTTTCCCATAAAATACAAAGATTATATAGGGAAATACAACTGGTCAGTTTTGACCCCTTTACGAAGTTTTCCCAGATATGCCGAGTTTTTTGTGACACCCCAAGGTGTTCTCCTACCACCTCACAAAATTTCAAGGGGGGTCGTCGGAGGAAATTTTTTTTCGTAATAGAGCTCATATAAAGAGAATTTCACTCGCGGTCACTTTTTAGCCCTCGTCGAGGGCTTTGAGTCAAACCGACAGTTTTCCCTAAAGGCCAAGCCATTCACCTAAGAGTATGCAAAAAATTAGCCAGATATACTGAGTTTAAGTACCCTAAAGTCTGCGTTGAAATGACCCTCTGTTTTTCCCATAAAATACAAAGATTATATAGGGAAATACAACTGGTCAGTTTTGACCCCTTTACGAAGTTTTCCCAGATATGCCGTGTTTTTTGTGACACCCCAAAGTGTTCTCCTACCACCTCACAAAATTTCAAGGGGGGTCGTCGGAGGAATTTTTTTTTCGTAATAGAGCTCATATAAAGAGAATTTCACTTGCGGTCACTTTTTAGCCCTCGTCGAGGGCTTTGAGTGTAACCGACAGTTTTCCCTAAAGGTCAAGCCATCGACCTAGGAGCATGCAAAAAATTAGCCAGATATACTGAGTTTAAGTACCCTAAAGTCTGCTTTGAAATGACCCTCTGTTTTTCCCATAAAATACAAAGATTATATAGGGAAATACAACTGGTCAGTTTTGACCCCTTTACGAAGTTTTCCCAGATATGCCGAGTTTTTTGTGACACCCCAAGGCGTTCTCCTACCACCTCACAAAATATCAAGGGGGGTCGTCGGAGGAATTTTTTTTTCGTAATAGAGCTCATATAAA